ATTTATTTATGTGTATATATGTTTTATAAACACGTAAATTCTAACATAAAAAAGTACCCAGAAGTTAAATAAGTGGTTATAACTTTTGAAAATTGCTGTTCTGTTTTTGTTTTATATGTATACAAGTCAAATTTGTTAGATGTGATTCAGTTAAAATTTTGTATCGTTACCCACACACGTTATTAGCATGAAGTAAAAATGCCAACATGGTAGAAGTCAATATGACCCTCGGTACCAGACGTAAAGTTTTAGTTGCGACCGACGTCAATTTCGATGACTTTGTTTACGAGCCGGCCGAATTGCCAAGTGTTTACACAGGATTCTAATAAAAACGATAAAGTAGGTTACACTTGAGAAAAACACGCTTCAAAAATATTTACTTTGATGTTGAATTGTTTCCGATTGTATAAAGAGTACTCTAATGAGATCATTTAAATAATGATTTTGATTATGTTGTATAATGTACGTTATACATTTATTATTACTCATACCTACAGCTGGAAGTTTATAGGGGATATAAATTTAATTAAAATAAATAGTCCCTATTTGGATGGGTTACACCAAAAAGATGTTATTTGTGGGAATCATTTGAATGTTAATATAATTATATAAGAACCCTTTCGGTCCTTTCTAGACTATCCTATGAAAGTTCAGTTACAATCTGATCAGAGATTTTGGGAAAGCAAAAAAGACAATAAACAATAAACGAAACAAAAAATAATTTTGTATTCTGTAAAGCTAACAGAAGAAATTGAATTTTTGTTAAAACTAAATGTATAACCAAGAGTAATATGGCTTTTAGAAAATCGAGCGTCCATTGTGAACAGACTAAGCAATTGTAAATAAAATAGTACACGTTCTGAAAAATAGTATATATAGTTGATTTAAAAGGGAACATTGAGTTGGAATAAAACCTATGTTTATCTATATCTATACATATAATAAAATTGTAGAAAAGTGCTGTCTGTACATTGAAAATAAAAATTAAAAAAAATAGCAGGGGTTATTGTTATGTCGATGTCGAACCCAAAAATGTAATTAACTTTTTTTTGTCTGTTTGTCTGTTCTCGCTAATCTCAGAAACGGCTGCTAATCTCACGAAACGGCTGATCCTTTAGAGTTTGGATCGCACGAGCGAAATTAAAGAATCACGTCGTATTCTATGTAACATGTGAAATTTAAAGAGGTACCGTTAATCATGAACGAAGTCGCGGGCACAGCTAGTTTTTAATAAATTTAATCATGTTAAACGGCCTCTTGTTTCGTTTCTTAAAACAATAAATTTAAATCTGATTTTCTATGGTGACAGTTTATATGTTCTTACAATATAATAAAGCCAGACAAAGGAAAATCTTTAACTTGAGATACAGTTATGAAATATGTATGTATATCTGAGTTATATTTTAAAATTCAGTGACCTCAATTAAAACTCAGTACTGCCAGGTGGCAGAAACCCTAGACAGGTGTCTAGGGTTTCTTGACAAAAAAATATGTCATTGTAATGCCATTCGCGACACCAAGAGGAATTGAACATCATATAATCTCTTCGATTGGAACTTGATACGTACACAATTTACCATTTTATTATATATAGAAAAACTATCGCCAATAGTCAATGTAAATCAGGAGTGCGATAGTAAACGATTACTATTTCAAGGTTTCCGGACTATGTAAAATAAACAATTTCAGGCATACAAACCCCTGTGCAACCATGTTTATATTTCATGTTTTACTAGAATTTATATTATGTGGATAGACTGACAGTTAGTATGACTAGATTTTATTGAACAAAAAAGCAGTTATTTTTTCATATTATTTTAGTCACAAAGAAGTCCTATAAATAAATACATTTTTAATCTCGAACATATCTATATAAAATAGCTAAGAACCCTTATGATGACTAATAATTGATGAAAATAATAAAAAATTATATTAAATAGTTGTGCATGAACACATTAATTAGGCAGTCATTAAATCAAAACTTCAAGGTTCGCAGTACGTTCACCCGATGCGGTAATTGAATAGCGTCTAGGAACTGCGGTCGTCCAATTAGTACCGTTCCACACACTTCTTGTTACGCCCGAAATTCCAGCAAAGGATATTTACAGTAAAATTTACTGTATTTGTGTATCCAAATTACGTGCTCCAGTAAAAGAAACCGCCTTCACGATGTTACCTAACGTTTTCTCGCATTTAACTTTTTTTCAAATATTGAACATCCTTATCACAATCATTACCTACTACTATATGAGTTTGTGTAGTCGTCAAACGTCTTTCATAAAAAAACAACATTAATTTGTTTCCTTAAGCCCACGCGAAGGTAACAAAATATTTTTTTTTACTTTACTTCCATGTGTAGGCAGCGAGCCATATGATCTTGACCTAGAAATTTTTTCTTATTATTATTTTCTCACGCGGATATTATTTTTTTACCTCCGTCTGAGAAAACACATTAATATAAATGTATTTGTATTATTATATGTAGAAACACAAAAAATAAATGATAAAATTCCGGTAAAAGTAATCTACCAACTTTGTATTGGATCAGTTTGGTTTTTTAGTCCTAAACCTTGTTATTGGGAAGAGGACCTGCTCTGAACAGAGAAGTGAGACGTTGGCTTCGCCTTACTTTTTATTCAATAGATTTCGGTTCAGTTCTAGTGCTTTTTTATCAAATATTTATTTAAAAAAAATCTTACATGAAATTTAAAAATTAAAATCGTATCAATTTTATGAAGTTTGATAGGATTCTCTGAAATTGTGTTTATAGAAAATACATTTAATTGGACAAACACAACTGGAAAAAACTTTTAATAATTGCTAAATCTGTTTTCTAATGCTTTAAAAAAACCAATTTATTTGATACAAATACAATAGATTTGAAAGAAAGAATTGTAAAGAAAATATTTCAAAATGACTGATGTTTAATATGGAAAAATAATTAGAGAGATTAATACTTATTTTAATTTTTGAATGCATTTTGAAATACAGTCTGTCGTTTTACCACTGGTTTAAAACGATATTTAAAATTTAAACGCTTCAAAAAACTTATATTTTAAATGGAAAGGTAGTCTTTAAATAAAATATCCATCTTAAATTCTGTTTGACATTTAAATTATATGCACAGTTGATTATTTACAGAAATTTATTGATATAGGCAGTGATATTATATAACAGATAATTTGGCATTTAATTGTAAAAACGTAAAATAATATGCGTTAGAAATAACTTGTAAAATATACAAGCACAATGATATTCGTAAAATTTGAGCACATTACTGAGAGTCTTTTCTATATTAATATGGCGTAACTTAGCAAAAAAGTATACAATAAGTTTTAATAACTAAATTTCAGTAGAACATTTCAATAAATTTATGATTTTTGGATTTATTATATTGTATTTCACCCTACGTTTCGATTACTTTACAGTAACCGTCATCTTGGGCAGTCAAAATGAAAGCCTTTATGTCCTTATTATCCATTAGAAGTGTGTATAAATAAGATAAAAATTGAGAAAAATCTTAAACCAATTAAGAGTATCAAGAGAAAGAGAAAAGGCACTAGGGTTATAAAATCAAACGTCAAGCGTCTATCCTTAAAGTGACCTCGTATTAGACTATAATGATATATACGTATCAGAAACAACACAAAATCCCAAAGGATATTTGTGAATTGGCCTCCAGACAAGACATGTTTATGTATTCGAGAATTTTAAAGCACGTTGTTTTAATAGAGCTTACGGTTCCTCGGGAAACTAACATCCCCAAAGACAAAGCCATCAAGGTCAAAAAGTATTACAAACTCACTAGGAATATGTTCGTCGCAGATTTTAGCCCGGTAGAAGTGGGAGCGAGGAGTATAACGGCTAGATCTCTCTATAACCTACTAAAAGTTTTGAGTCTGTCCAGAACTAATATCATTTCATTCTTGGAACGTACTTTGAAGGCAGCCCAAGTAGGTTATTTCCAAATTTGGTTACTCAGAGAGAGAACTTGGACAGTGGAAGTGAGCGTTCAACGCACGTTAGATAGTACCTGGATCGCGGTCCCAGGTACTGTTGAAGCTCCTCTCCCCCCAACGTGGTATATCTGGCACCCGTACGGTGAAAGGTATACAATTTTTTATAAAAAGAAAAAAACGAATCCTCGACATATATACAGGTTAAAGCGCAAGGTTATTGAAATAAACAAAAACAACCTAAATACAATTGTGAAGACAGCTGGGATTATCTATTATCTGATAACCAATTAGCGCATTCAACGTGTTTTCAGAGCTGTAAGCAAGAAAATTAAGAAATAGTTGGCAGGCGATCATAGATAACAAGTCTTACTAACAGACATTCTCATCTCGTGAAGACTGTTACTGTAAAGTAATGAAATTTGGGGTATAGCGCCTATAATAAATTGTGTAGTTAAACTGAAAAACCAAAGTTTTCAATAAATATTCACTTTTGAAAATATAGATATCATTACGTGCAACATTTTGTAAATATTGATTGATTTTTTTTCCAATTTGATTTCTTCCGTTTCTTGAATGAGGTGTCTCATGAGTTTTGAGAAATCAACGATGCTAGTGAAGAATTAATTAATTATAAGTAATAAGGTAAAGAAACTAAATGGTAATTAACCTTCTGAATTTTAAAATCGAGGTATACTTATGTACATATTTAATTAAAATCATTACAAGACATTTGTTTATCACTCCACATTGATATAATTCTTATTTTTGTGCTAATTTACGCCGTCTTCATTAGTACTCTAACTATTGTATCTATCCTATATATTTTAATAACAAAGTAGACTACATATCAAAAAAATATTTATAATTTAAATTTTGTTTACAATTTTGTTCGTGCCTAAAATATCCTTATAGGCCGCGAGTAATTCGAGTCAAATACCAAAACCTCTTAAATATTCACAAATTCACTTAACAATTCCTACATCTTAATTCTTAGTTAACAATTAAATATCTTATGTTGCTTGCAGCAGTCTTTATTGTCATTTAAACATGTATAGTAAAATCTCGTCTCTCCTGTTCCTGCCGCTGTTGGTATCTGAAACAAATATTTCCTTTAGCGACATCTTTATGGAATATCGACATCTACTTTGTACAGAAGCCTAAGTCTATCTTGAAGACTGCTTAACGCTTCCATTTTTAATACCCAGATGGCGCTATTGATAATTTTTTTAACAATGTTTGATATACACATTATTCTTAATTAGTGCTTGCCAAAATAGTCCAGTCATTATAGTAAGTTCACCTCGGAATTCGAGATACCCAGCTGTAAGTCTGTAAATAGTTGTATATTGACACCCTAAAAGTTGTCTCAAAACCTACATATGGTAGGGTGTAAGCAACTATTAAATTTCAAGGTTAAAGGTCACAAAAATCGGTTTTTTAAAAGTACCTAATACTTTAAATGAGAAAATTTTTGTCTATTAAGTTTTTTTTTTATATATTAAAATTTGCTCATTGAAGTCGTGGTTCAATTTTATACCTTTTTCTAGAAGTCAAAACTAATAATAATTAATTTTCATAAACCTTATATTAAAGTTAACCGAAGATAGAATTAATTATATTCTACATTTCAAAAAATTATGGAAGAACGTATTATATATACATATAATCAAAAATGTAACTATAGTTCAGGACTATTTGTATCTTTTTTACATTAATACCTATTAGCAGGCGCATGTCGCCTCGGTCGCCGCCGCCCCTTGTCTCTTGGCCCCGAACCGGCACATGATTCGGCACTAGAGTCAGTGACAGTTCGGAACACTTCCTCTGTTGCTGTTTAATTAAATAAATATCAAGCTTAAAACTATCAACTCATGACAAATTTATGTAAAACCGTGAATGTGTCTTGTAATGATTTTCATTGAGGCAAAATAATTAAACTGAAATGCAAGAACTGTATCTAAATACCTTTATTGGGTGCTAGTGGCATTCTATACGAAACGCTGGAGGTGCACTCGGCACACGGCGACCCACTCGAATCGGAGTCCGATTCCGTCCGTCGTACCATCAATGTCATAGCACGAGATAAAGTGTACTCATCTGAAATAAAAATAATAGCAGGTTACTATGGGTAAGTTATACTATATACTTGTAATAAATACTAAGGTCACTAAAGGAAGAATTACCAGAATGCGCTGGTGAGCGGTGCGTGTGGTTCCGGGGTGGTGCGGCGCTAAGTGGTGCAGGTTCAGCACGACCGAACGTCCGCAGAGTACCAGCTGCTGCTTCACCCGTGCTGCCTCCCGACATACTGAATGTCGCATACGGACTGATCTCGTACATTTCTGTTGCAAGTTACTTAGTATGTAAAGACGTCAATAATATTATTGTTACGATCTCGGCCTTACCAATGATGTGTAGAAGTTATTTAGTTCTTACCTTGTTGTTCTTTTTTATTAGTACTTTTAATTGGGGAAGAAGTATATACTTGCTGACAATTCTTTCTATTGTCACGCTTTTCTACCGATTTGTCTTCTTCTGATACACCACTTTGCTCGTAGCCTTTTCTGAAGCAGGGTTTTGTTGCACTAGAAATTAATTTTACAGTACACTGCCGATAAGAATAACATTAAAACTAACTAAGCAATTATGACATTATATTTCTAACTGCTTTCGAAAACAATTTCTTTTTTATTAAAATGAACCTTCAATCATACCTTCTTTTATAGGCGAACACACCAAGCAATAATAAGGCAATAAAAAGAGCAGCCGCAATAGCTAGCAGCACTACACTACTACCCGATGACACGTCTTCTTCACCACCAGATGGGAATTGAGCTGGTGCTGGGATGCGCTCTGTAAAATTTATATGTTTTATATTTTGAAATTTTCTATGAAATGTGAATATAAACGTTTTAATATAAAATATACCTCCGCCTTCGGTTAGTGTTGAAAAATAATACGTTGCAGTTGTAGAGCCCGCAGTGCTGAGAGCGATAACCTTTAGATGATACCATGTAGCTGATTGTAGACTACATAGCGCTATTGGTTGAGGCTCCAGTCCTATTGTCTCTGATCTCCATAAAGATTCCTCGAAAGATCGAATTGAGACCAAAAAGTGTATGAGCGGACAACTATTACTGTCCCAGGTAAGGAAATTAAGTCGAACGCAGCTACTATTGGTTGTGATTAGATGTTTTTCTACCGCTGGTTTTGATACTGGAAAGGAAATTAAATATCTTTTGTAGAAAATAATATTGTTGTTGACAGAAATAAGTTATTAAAATATTTTTTGAACATGTGTTAAATTCACCGAACAATTTAATTTAATTTAATATGAGTGATTAATTTATATATAAAACTGACTTTTTCATGGGCTGTTATGATAAAACGTTGTTATCATTTTTTCTAATAATGACAAAAGAAAATTTAAAGACTCTTGCTAACATTTATAACTCCAGCTAATATTTTTAGCAAATAGTAATAATAAAAATAATAAAGATCTTTTTTAATCTATCTAACAACACAACTGAGAAAAATGATTACAGAAAATTATGTAATTAATTTCTCTTACCTCCCCCGCTAGCAACGGCAGCAAGCACTTCACTGGGGCGCGAGACACCAGCAGCGTTTCTTGCTGTGAGTCTCAGTCTATACTTTCCACCACACACCAACCGCCGGAGGGCGTATGACCGAACGCTACCCCAAACAAACACTGACTGCCACGGACCATCGCCTAGTGCATATTCTAGACCGAAGCCTGGTACACAAAAGCTCAAATTTAATATGATTATAGACGGCTAACAATTTAATACATTAAAAAAATTGTTTAGTGTTCAAACTACTGATATGAGTATAATAACTGTGTTCTAATTACGAGAGTGATATTTCACAATAAAAATAAATTATCATAAAAAACTTAGTAATATTGGTTTTAAAGGACGTGAATCTTTCAAACTCGTGTCATCTAAATCAAAAGTGGCTGTTAAAGTAGGGATAGTTGCCATTATCTCAAACGCTTTCGAAACAATCCCCTCGAAGTGAGTGAGTCTCTTGAGTTATCTCGAATTGCTACTAGGATTTCGCTTAAGTATAACATAACTCCATAGCTGGGAACCGGCAGGGTATTGCATTTAAGCTTGTTAGTGCCACATCATTGTCCATATCTTTTGTTAAGCCACAACTGTCATTTCTTACACTATGTTGGATTATACTTTGTCACCCCCAAAAAGAATACACTTTAAATGCGTTTTCAAAACTCCCTGGTCTGCGACTCGTTATGTTTACCACTATAGTGATCGAGTTCTAAATCCACCCACTCCCTCATGCATATTAAGGTACGTAAATAAATTTACCACGATATCTATTACTATACTTTTAACAGTTTCCTTACTATCTGCATCTCCCGAGTCCCAGGCAACTATAATTGCTGCGGGTGCAGTACCAGTGAGTCTCAACTGGGGTGCGGAGGGTGGCGACAATACGCGCACTTCCCACAGTCCCCGTTCCTCGCCCCACGGATTACGCACCACACACGTGTAGTTGTCACTCATTGAAGGCTCCATTTCTATAATAAAATTATTCTTTTCCAATAAATGGCTGGTTTTTATTATTATACAACTTTTTTATTTGCCAGTTAATTGACAAGTTAATTTAAAATATTTTTTGGTTTAACATTGCCAGTTAATGATTGGCAATAGATTTGACGTGAAACTTGATATTTCACCATCTTCAAATAGCGACAATTCTAAAAACTTATCCCGTTTTTATGGTTTAACAGTTTTCATATTTCAATACAATAATATGTAGATAAGCGATGTAGAATTTTCTATTGATAATGTTTAAAAAAATTGGGAATACAGTTATTGCAAATAGTTAGTTTTGATAAAATTTACGTCTTACTAGGTATGACAAGTCGATGTGCTTCGATTCGTATTCTAGGGTCAGCTAGAATAGTTGGTGGTCGACGCCGGCTCCATACTCGCACGGGAGTTGGGCTGCCGGCAGTGCCACAAGGAATGACGACTTTAGAGCCTTCTATTTGTACTATTCTTCTTGGAAATGACCATATTTTAGCTCCCGCTACAAGTGCAAGTATATCACAACATTATAAATTCTCATCTGTACATGTAGTTATTTGAAATTATTACTCAATATCATATTAATATTTAAACTTTATGAAGAAACTGCTTAGTATGTAAACATTTTACACAAATTATTTGATGACAAAAAATACTGATTTTTAAAATCACCTCTAGTGCTGGGTTTCTTGGCAACTATAGCGCTCATTTCTCCCTCTCCGGCAGATGTAGCAGCAGTCACCCAGAAATCATATAGCTGGTGTTCATGAAGTCCTCGTATTTCCAACATTTGTTCCTCATCTGTTTGCGGCACCATTACGTGGGAGTGCTGGCCTGTTCTGTTGGAAATTCGGTTGAGGTTTGAATACTTTTTAAAATTTTTTTCGTATTGAGGAATGTAAAATGTATAACTAACCTCTGTGGTCGATTATATACTGTATAGTGTCTAATTTTGCCATTCTTCTGCGCTGGAGCAAGCCAGCTTATAATGACTGAATCTTCTGAGTGTGGTACCGCTTTTATATCTGCTGGAGGTCCTGGCACTGAAATAAAAATACACTGTAATGTGAATATTGTTTATGTTTCGCTTCATTGCAGTGACGTCACGAGATCATTGATTTTTATAGAAATGTCTTATATCATAAAACAACGTATATAAATATTGATAACAATTAAAATAACTTTAATTATTTATGATAAGATTTTATCTACGTATAGTCAATATACTTAAATATTGAGTCATCAAATTAATTATTAAATGTATATTAGTAGGACGTTCCTTAGATTAATGCCATGCTATTATGTTTATGCTAAAAAATAATCAACGAATCTGTAAAATACAAATATAAGTTTTAACTATTCATCGTAATAATTTTAGGTTTTTCAAATACTTTTTGTTATTACATATTGAGTTATAATGTAATATCTCAATATAAAGCGTAGTCTATATATATATATATATATAAACGATTGTAAACTTCCGTTGTAATACATACACATTTAAGCTTTAAATGATTTATTTTTGGACGTAATTTAGAAAAGGGAAGGTATATAAAAAGGTCATTTTGTAAAAAAATGCCTATAAGCATAGAAAATGAGTACATACGTCATATAATTAAATTAATCTTCCAGGGTTATGTTACAGCTTTGCAACCAATGACGTTTGAATCGGTTCGTTTTCTATGAAATATTTTAGGTATAAAAGTAGAAGTTCATCTAATAAACTATATATAAGAAGTATTTTGATATGGAAATAAGTACCGTCATCGAGTGTATGACAGTAGGCGAGTGCGGGTGGGCCGGTACCGGCTGCAGTGCGCGCACTCACTCGTACTGAATAGTTTCCTGCGCGGAGTCCTCCGGCTTGAGCCTCGCTGCCACCCGCGCGACGACGCTCCCACACACTGTCGAGAGAACCTACTTCCTGAAAGTATTGATAAAGGAACATTTTATACACAGAATAAACATATGATTGGTATCTTCTCGTGCAAGATGCTATTCCAAATAAATTTTTGTACGCATTTTTTTTTCTTTTTAGCCCGGGTTGTACATATTTATATATGTAAGGGAATCTTTGAGCTTTATTTTCACCGGTTTCTAGAAATCTGAATAATTTTAAACTTTGCATACTTATCGAGGACCGATGACAATGCAATAATTTGATAGTAGTATTCCATTTTCCTTATTACTTTGGTATTTAATAAAAATGAGAATGAGAAACCCTCAGATTATTTAAATCTACCGTCATTATATATGTTTTAAGGTATTTTTGTTTTTGATTGTGCAAAATACCTAATATCAATTCTGTTTGTTGATTATAATAATAAAAGCTATGTATACTGTACAATAAGATTAATAGTATTAGAAAAAATTATAGTTTAATATCATTTTCTTAGTTACAGGTTCCACTAATCTTATTGTATTTTGCATTTCATACCTGGTACATAGTTCGTATCCGAGAAGCAAGCCTCCTCTGGTCTGTGGTGGTGGTGGCTCCCACCAAATACGAAACGATTGTGCGGACAACGGTTCACATCGGATATGCTGAGGTGGGGCTTCTGGAACTACATAAATAATAACATAGTATGTAACTGTATTTAAAATGGAATCTTCTTTTCGACTTTCATTCGGTTTACTATGATATGGAACATGATGGAAATTAAAATAAGGCATTGTTATTTTGGTACTTTATTAACTTTAGGTAACGTTAAAAAATGTTATACTGTAGTTATATCAAAATAAAAAATAAATATGTTTATTTCCAGAAAATTTAATTTTCAGAAATAAAATATATTTATTTTTGGAATTTTGTTAAAGTTAGTTTTGCCCAATTGTCAAAGTGATAATAGTAACAAAAATTTATTTTATACACTGAATTTGTAAACATTTTCTTCAACTAGAACTCTAAACTAAGCATTGATTTTAAAATTATATGAAAAGAGATTGAGCTCTCTATCATACATTTTCAAACTCAAGCTTTTACTTTCATGAAAAAGAATTGCCGGACTCTCCCATTTTTCTGATATTCTTTTATTTTTCATACATTTCGTTGAAGGTAATATAATAAGTTTTCATGTTTTCATGATAGTTTGTTAATCTTGCTAATATTAATATCATATACCCACCATCTTCAAGTGTGGTGGCAGCAAGTGGTGCACACGGCGGTCCCGCGCCAACAGCGTTAAACGCACGCACCCGTAGCTCATAACGCGAGTGTGCTCTCAATGCAGCGATGCGTGCGTTGTTAGCAGCCCATCCAGGAACTGTTAGTGCTAGAGATGCGTTGTCAGTTCGCCACCATACCGCGTAGCCAAGCAACTCGCCGTTCCATGTTTCTTGGGGTGGAGGCTGAAAAATTAAAGCAGGGATGTTGACAATGTACAATAGATTCGAAGTATTTGAGAGGATTCATTGTTACAGGAAAATATCTGGAAAAAAATTTACATTTACATTTAGTAAGTAATCGTTTTAAATAATTTCAATGGTGCTAAAGAGGATTTTAAGGTTTTTTAATACTTCAGAGTGATATAATTTTATGTTTTTTTTTCCTTTGGTGAATTGTTTGATTTCAAAAAATATAAGTTCATAATTAATTGTAAATTAATGTTTCATTTTTACATTTTCAAAAGAATAATTAGCATCCATAAAACGCATTCACACACTTCCACTAATTTCATTTTTTTTTTCATACGAGTACATACCATTTTTAAGTAATCTTTAATATAGATACCATCTAAAAGGTATTTGACTTGCTCACAAAATGCAATGAAAAACGTTTTGGTCAATGGTGCTGATTCATGGACTATTTGAATGCTGCATAAAAAGTGCTAGATTCCTTAATTATTATTTTAACTAATGCTACTTCAAAATGTAGGTAAAGGTGGCAAGTCAACTTTTCCAGTAATAACGCCTTTGTCTTAAAGAAATCCAAATGATAAATAAGTATAGGAAGAAAAAAGAGGCAAATTGTATCCATCCAATCGTTCAACTGTAAGCTTTAATTCTTTATATGTAATTTTTAGTACACAATTTTTTTTATTGATAATGAGAATCAACTGGAAGTAAAAGTGATGATTTATGGAACTTTCAATGATTGTGAATAAAATATCGTTTACCGATTAATTATTATCTAACGTAGTGCTTGACTCAAATTTAAACTTTGACAGAGTTTAAAACAACATATATATCTGAGTGGGCAAATTTAAGGCATTTATAATCGCATTTTTTTTAAAATAACATACCTTTTAAGAAACATTTCTAGGTCTACTTATTTATAAGAACAAATATCACCTGCCACTTAACAAGCAGTTCTCCAGGAGCATCTGCTTGCACTTCAACATGTCTAGGTGCTTCTGATGGGGCTTTAAAATAAAAATGTATTTATTAGTATGCCTTTTCAAACTACAATATTATACCAAAGTATTTATTTCTATCAAGATTACCTTCCTCTAATGTTTGGACTATGACTGATTCGGAATATTCGCTATCTCCTATATCATTTACTGCAGCCAGCCTTAATGCATAGGCAGTTGCAGGACGAAGACCATCCACTCGATACTCTAGAATTACTTCTGAGTTGGGGTCCGAGCTCTCTTGTCTGAAGAAAAGTTTCACGTTAATATTAATCTTGCAATAAATCAATAAATTGATAAATTTGATATCATAGGAAAGATTATTATACAAAAATAGGAAGAAATAAATAACCTTTGTATAAGTAAATCAGGAGACAGTTCTCTAGTAGGGGCATCTGTCCAGTCAGCAGCTCGTCTTGCGTCACCCACCACGCGATATTGAAGGCGGTATGCACGGAGGCGTGCGTTACCGTCGTACCCGCGATGCCACGAAAGACGAGCCGCGCGACCTTCGCGTTTCAATATAGTGAGACCGCGAGGAGATTCCGGAAACTCTGAAAAAATGTAAGTTATTTTACTTAATAATATTAATGAATATTTCTGTAACGTGAAAATGATTACAAAAATTATCTTTGAAATCATATAAAATCTAATGTATTAGAGTAATATATTCACCCTGTACAGCCAAGTATATGAGCAGTTCATCTCTACCATACGCGTTCTCAGCGCGACATCGGTACACGCCAGAGTCGCGGCGTTGAGCGTGGGTGATGCTCAGGGTTGAACTCGCTCCGTTCTCAGATCGCTTCTCCGATACTGACACTCTAGTTATAAGACAAGCCAAATAAAATTACTTATAAACGGTACATATTTAAAAAAATACCTATACAAAATACATACTAAAAAAAATACATAACAAAAATACGTTTTGCTTACAGTTAAGTAAGACAAATAATTTAAATAAAACTTAATTTTTCGGATTACTACGCGTATTTTTTATTTAAAAAAAAATACTTATCAGCTTGAGTTTCAGTTACTTTGCATTAAAAGTGATCACAGTTGCTACAAAGTAACTCAAACTTCGAGAGTATGTCGTATTTAAAAATAATAAAAATATACTCGTAGTAATCCAAAAAATATTAGTTTCATTTAAATGAATACTCGCAAAAATTTTGAGCTAGATTTACACTCGAATACGAGTTGAAAGACGAAGTACGAGACGAAGCATAGAACAAAGTTATTAAAAACATAACTCGCGTTGTCATCGATGTAAGTTCAAAAAAAACCTCATAGGTCGAGCGATAAACATAAGCGAGTTATTATGTAAAATAATTATCAGTTCAAATAACAAATGGATAAGTAAGAAGAGAAAGAACCTATATGTAGAAAGATCTAATCTCTGCATATTGTGTGTCCAGTGTAGTTGTATAGGAGCATCTCCCCTTGCTGAACATGTTAGTGACGCGCTGGCCGTACGTCGCACTGACATGTTGCGGGATGAAAACTCAAAGTGCGCTGGTTCTGTAAAAAGTAATCAAATTCGATGAGTATTGTAATGAAATATAACTATTAGTTATATTTACAAACAGCTATAAATGATAAAAGTTTGAATTGTTAGTTAGTTATATTATCCGTCGACAGATGGATTTTGTTTATGAAGTTATACACAATACAGTTTCGATACGTGTGTAATTCATATTTTTTATCAGCTATTTAGGGGCTTAACTTTTCTTAGAAATTCTAACATTCATTTTAACAACAAACTACTAATGTTGCAAAAACAAAATGCATTACATTATTAATCTTTGTTCTTTCACTTCCATTATGGACATTTGATAAAAAGTTTGTATAAAGTAATATAACCTACCGTTAACAGAGACGGTAACAATTTTAGACAGGCCGCGTCCTACAGCGTTGTCTCCACGACACATATAGCGTCCTTCGTGTCCGCGCGTGGCCACCCCGCTTAATGAGCCGTTGGTTAAAACAGACAAGGGCAGCTCTACACGGTTAAGTGGGCGAAAATCTGCACTGCTACCTACACCTGGTAATGTTGGTACATTTAATGTGAAAATTATTATGTGAAAATTACATTTAATGTGAAAATTATTATGATCAAAGTTTAAAAGAATATAATTTCAATTTTAAAGTTAAACACAAACAAAAGTGATAACAATGAAATGTTTGAAATGAAATTTACATACTCCATTTCAGCTTCAATCTTAATATATTTTATTTAAATATTAACATTTAAATTTTAAATCTCTTTAATAAATTCTGTAAGATTATTTAGGTACTACCCTAGATAACTTATTAGTTTCTATACGAACTTCAGTAAAATGATAAATTCTTAAATAATACAATAAAAAACTTATATATTTTATATAAAATATATATTACCATGAGCTTTCAACCATGTTATTCTTGGTTCTGGATATCCTTTAGTAACACAGTGAATAAGAATTTGAGTTCCGAGTAAGGCTGAAACATCTTGAGGCTCGTATACCCACGACGGCGCGACTGTATATAATATTTATTATTAAAAAAACATTCAAGTATGTATATTTATAAATTTGGCACTACAATTCTCATCCAACTTTAAAAGGCTCTCACTGTTGCCTAATTTCCGCTTCTATTTTAAGCAGTTTCCTCATTGGAAATAGTTATCAAATATTTTTTTACCATCCATTTTTACCATTTAGTTTAAAATAAAGCCTTATTTATCGATAAAAAATATAAAGAAATACTACATAAATGTTTCTTTATATTTTTTATATGTATTTAAGAATAAAATTAAAACTATTGCCTTCATTTATTGATCACTTTTATCTGCTACTTAATACAATCATTAATCTAGCATCTAGGTATTTTAAACTTTCCTGGATGTAATATTCATAGAACAATATTTTGTGAGGTGGCAGAGCCTAGCTGTAGTCAATTTACTATAGCTCGAACATGGGCTGGCTCGACCGGGGAAGTACCACCCTCTCACAGAAAATCGGCGTAAAGTAGTCTTTAAAGGCTGCGTTTCGTCCGGTGAGTGAGAGTGCCGGTTGCCCTTTCCCTTTTCCCACCCTTTCCTTTCCCACCTTTTCCTCCTCCTTTGCCCCAATAGAACACATCCGCAAATCTACGTTGCGAATGTCTATGGGCGACGGTAACTACCTACCATCAAGTAGGCCGTCTGCTCAGTTGCCCCCTTTTCCCATAAAAAATTATGACGATCATATTTGTGACGAAACGAAAAACAACATCCAAATTTTTTCAAATCTCACGAGTAGATTTTTATAAATAAATAAATAATATAGCTCATGCAAATTTATAATTTCACTGCTTAAAAGTCGTTTTTCCGAAATGACTTTGACTTAAACCATTTACTGCTTAAAGCTTAAAGTCGACTTAAAAACTAAATTTCAAAGATCAATAATACTTAAGCTTAAATTTATTTTTTCCCATTTATATAGCACAATGTAAACTTACCCTTAACGGCAAGTCTCGCTGTGTGGTTAACTTCAGCTGCAGTGTTACTGGCGACACATGTGTAATCCCCGCTATGTTTCGATGTGACGTGGGAAAATATAAGAAAACTGAATTCATCTAAGGATTTCTCTTGGACCTGAAATTAAAACAAAATTATATACAAACTCTTTAGTATTTATATGCTAAAGGCTAACAGCTTTAGTCAATTCGAAACCAAAAATATTTATATGCGATCGTATTAAAATATTTTATAAATTGTCACCTGTAAGTTAGACGGAATGTGCTGTCCATCTTTAAGCCAGGAGAAATAAACTGGTTTATCCCCAGAAGTTATTCCGCATAAAACTTGTATTGAACTGCCTTCCACCAAATCCGCAGGAAATTGAAATCCAGCTATTTTCGGAGGATCTGAAATAAGAAGTTTATGTTTCATTTATCTTTTATTAAGTAACAATCATTAAGTTTTATATACAGATATTGATGAAAAATTTTCAAATATAGTTTAACTTACTTCGTACAAAAATCTGGACATCCTTTTGTGCGTATTGTCCTGAAGGTGAATTTACTCTGCACGAGTACACTCCGGCATCAGCTGGTTCAGCAGGCCATAACAGAAGTTCACCACCGCTTCCTGATAACGCTCTTCCAGTTGAACCCACATCTATACCACCACGTTGCCATCTTATATCACTGAAGTAAAGAAATCATATTTTTGACAGCTATTTTAATATCTAAACTTAAGTAACTAAACATAAACTAAACATAAGAATATTATAAAAAATCTAGTGTTTCGGGGTTTGGGAATCTACAAAAAATGAACAAAAAACGAAACTTATAGTCTTACTAAACAAATGCACCTCCATCAACCTGATTGGAAATCCGGAGTAAGGACAGTAGATCGTTGTGTTGACACCTGCAACCACGCGAACAGGACCAATGTTTCTGATGGATGGTGGACCTGCAATGCGGTAGTTCTATATTATTCATTTAAAGTAAATATAAACTATTTTTCTTTTTGTTTCTGATCTTCCAAATGTATATGTATCTCAGTCATTTCATGTGATGTTACATTTAATTTTGAAATATGACTGTCTTACCATAAACGTTAAGTCTTGTAGAATGTTCAACAGCTCCTCTCGTGTTATGAGCGCGACACGTGTACCTCCCGCCATCTTCAGGACGGACTGACGTAATGTTAAGGTAGCTCACTACGTCTCCGTTGGGACTCATAAACTGGGATATGCTCCTGTTAAATTCATAATGGTTTTATTATATATGTACGTATTAGATATTTGAACAGCGAAGGTAAAAATATTATCGTTCTCATCAATAATAATTTTGGATGGATATATGTACATAGGTATATTAGAAATTTCGTTTTATGAAAAATTCTTTTATGATAACAGAAAAATAAGGACAACATTTTTATTTTATTTCATTTTAATCTAATTTTATGTACCTACTAAAACTTTCTCATAATTTCACTCTCACCCTGGCATAAATGTTGTCATAGCCAGTAATCTATTATGTATTATAAACGGTCAAGTAGCTCATTCTACGTACCTCTGTTGTGTATTATGTTCCTCTACAACCTGCATGTCGAGCAGCCAAGTGAACCGTGGCGAGGGAGAGCCCGAGGCAGAGCAGTGGAGCGCAAGCGCCGGCCCCGGATGTAATGCTTGCTCGATGAATGTATAGTGCAGTTCTGGCGCTGTATCTGCGCATAAATTAATATTGAATATTATATTAAGATAATATTATGTTCATATTGTTTAATATATGCGGTTCTACGGTTAGTATTGTAAATATTTTTAGGTGACGACTGAACATTTAGTGGACCCAATTCAGGTGGATGTTGTTATGAAAATTGTAATATGGTTTTAGTGCAAAACTTTTAATGGATGTGACTGTTATACATCTATGTAGAGTATGAATTGTGATGCACAAATTTATCAATCAGTTATTCTTTAAACTATATTTATCTTATATTTAGATAGTAAAATAAGATTTAAGTTATAACGTTTTATTGATATATCTATTTAAAAATAAATTCTGTATCAAATCAGTTTCAAAAGAAAATAAACAGATATAATTTTTAATTTATTGATAATTTCATATCACACGTGTACGTATGTGATTATTTTCTTTATAGTCAACTACAATATGATTTTTGTATGGAATACATTCAAAACCTAAGCGGACTCGCAAGTGTTTTATTACATTTTAAAAATGTCATAACAAGAAATATCTGTCATTAACAAAAAATATCTCTATAAAAGGCCAACATCCAGGAAAGGACGGTCATAAATCAGAAATGTCAAAACAGAATCCAATCAACGCTTCTGAATGTTTGGAAAACAAAATAAAAAAAAGATATATGACACTTATTCTTCATCCCGTAGGTTGTTAGCACGAAATTGTCATAAGCTCTTTTCACTTCAGCATAAAACCACTCAAGAATGACATACCTGTGTATATTTATTTTAATGAATTTATATATGGTTAGAATGGTGGTATCTTGAGTAGCTGTAATGTAATAACTATATTGTAGTAATTCAAATATGGAGAGTCAATTATTATTTATATAACCTAGTCGTAGATTCCATTGTCTAAACCGTCTAATAACATAATACAAACAAGAACTAGCCAAGGTTACATAAAGCCAAAACGATCCAAACATCACAAACATTCAGTAAATGAGCTTGACAGTGAAATTATGAGGTAGTAAATAACAGGGCAATGCTGGTGAGCTCTTTATTGCGGATAACAGTTGACAGGCCATCTGTTTGAGCTGAACGAATCATTATGTAGGATCCATATATTTGAGCAACCAATCTAACGGTATGATTGCATTTATGGACATAACAAAAATATGTACTAGGATTTTGACTAGTAAATTTGACGACAATTAAAACACTTATTTTAGTAGTTATGTAGTAGGTAAGGCGAATTCATCAAAGTTATTTTTAGAGACAACCTGAGTTTCTGGCAACGTGCCAAGTTTCAAAATATAGCACCACGAAGGAAAGAATTTTAGCAAAAACTTTATTTATATGACCATGTAAAGGAAACGTGGTATGTATCAAATATCATGTATCAAATAGTATCGGCGACTTTGGTCATTAAATTTATCAACTTTTATGTTTGAATTAAATCACTCTTAATTTTCAATTTCTTTAAACGAGCCAAATTGTTTTTAGTCCCTTATTTTGAAGCTATATTTATTAAAAAAACCAATCAGATAGCATCATGAAAATGTAACACACTGATAAATAAAATAACGATTTATTTCCTTAAAAGAAGCTGCGGCAAAATGTAAATTTTCATGTTGATGTTGCGAAATAATGATGAGAAATAAATAAAACTGCACTTTTGCATTTATAATTGTCCTGAAGATTTTACAATGTTCAATATTTTGGATATAAATCTCCATAAAGGCTACAGTTTAAATATTTTGACGCTGACAAACGCTCGTCCACCATCTGGCACAAGCAATGTAGGTCACAAAATAAATCGAATTAAATAGAACATTGCTTCAATATACAACAATTATTATATTAATTATTTTTTTACCCGCATTCTTAACCTATTCATTCTATTGTTTTATAAACTTTCTAATTGGAAGTTTAAATATTACTTGAATACATAGAAAACTCTTCATTTCACTGTGCCCCAAAGAGCTTATATTTTATATGAGCACTCCTTATAACAGACTTTCATACATAAATAATAATGTCAAACATCAGCACCATTCCAATTCAACAGTGACGCATGACCTGTCCGTAGCCGCTGCATGCGTTAATCAATAACCAATCGCGACACAATCCAATCTATAGCACATTGCAATTTACATTCATTTATAAATTCGGTAGCCTTTATTGTGGGCCTTGCGTGATATATATTTGCCGATTTTATTACAGTCTGCATGAGATTTAACGAAAAACTAATTACAATTTATATATATGTACGTAATATATAATGAAATTCTAAAGTGCTCTAAGAACTCTTTATTTAAATATAACAGCTATGCTATTAGTTGAAATACATTGTGTTATAAATTGTAAAACTTTTTATTCTGCAAATAATCAGCTGAACTTATTTTAACATCCATAAATAAGTATTAGCAGTAAGAACTGGTATCATTAAGTTATTCAAGGCAACAACTAACGAAGAGATATTACTTCAAGTAATTAGTATTCTCTAGTTATCTTAAGCACAGTTCCTCTAAATCCTGAATTAATGTGACTATCATATATCATAACTTGGGATATGAAATTGACATTACTTTTATGTAAATAACCACAATCGTTACTAGTAAAGTTAAAAGTTAAGTACCATACATATTAAATATATATAATAGCAGGTTATCATTAAAATGTAATGCATATAATTCTTTTGGTTTGGGCTCAAAATCTCGAATTTTTTCTTTGAAAAGATATCCCCAATCAATTGAATTGATTTTTTGTATACACTTTTAACTTGAATGACAATCTTTCATTTACTTCCAATATGAGGGTTTATATAATTTTAACTATAATACAACTCAATTATAACATTTATAATAATAGAAATAGCCTGCTAAAAAAAATTGGAATAAATTAATGTCAACAATGAAAACTATATATTACTTTAAGATTTTGCTGAATCTTCAATTCTGTAAATGAATTAAAGGTTTCTCGAGTAACATTCCATACCTATGTAAATGAAGAGGTAATTGTTAAAAACATTGAAAATAAAATAAATATTGACACAAAAGTTATTCTTAATAATGAACACGAATAGTCAATAAATTTCTTCTAAAACAAGCATAAAATTATGTAAAATAAGTTTCCCGTCTTTTACTTTAAGAAAAATCAATTATAGAACTGTGAGGCACTTAGTTTGACGCCTTTTTGTTCTGTGCTCAGTCAAGTGGCTTCGTTTTAGCGCTACTCCTCTTTTTGAATGAATAAGTTTGAATAGTTTATTTGATTATTTCACCTATAAAATTCCGAATTTAATTTCGTATTATTTCTCGTTCCCTTTTACCAATAATTTACATAGCATTTGTATATTTTAATGTAAGGTAAATTTTAAAGCTATCAGATAATATTTGATATCAATGAACGAATTCGTGTTTAAATTTTAAAATACGATTCGGTAGAGAGGCAATCAAACAGTTCATGTCATGTGCACCGGCCATACTGCAGTGCTGGGAACATTGCGAGCCGCTCTCTATTGACGTGTCTATATAGCTATGATACCGCCTGGTACATTGAATTGATAGAATGATATATCATGTATAAACTCACTTCACTTTTTAAAAGGGTTGTAATAAAATATCTCTTTTATAAAATCATAGTTTACTTATCCTAAAATATATTTGTAATGGCCAGAACTAATGGTGAGGTCATGTGTTTGTGACAAGATTTCTTTTGTTTGTATGATAACTGGGTTTATATTTTGTGTAATATATTATTTAATAAAGCTGATGTCACTTTATTTATATTTTATATTTTCAGGTAACATAAGGTAGGACGAAAACCAAGCACTAGGTATAGTTCTAATGAAATAAACGTACTGAAATTATTTATTCCTTCATAACTTTCATTACCTTATTGTATATTGTAACAAAAATAATATTATCTCATATAAATCCTACCTCCAAGCCTGAGTTCAGCAGCAGCTTGAGCACTATCAAGGTCTCGTTCAGCGAAACACTGGTACATTCCTCTATGAGCTCGAACCACACCGTGGACGCGCAATACCCGCTCACCACCGCCGACAGGGACACCGTCGTGCAACCAACGCACGCGAGCCTCACCTCCATCAACCGAACAGTTAAAGGTCACTGAACTACCGGAGTTAGCGATCTGTTGAAATAAGAAAACTCTTAGGTGATTTTTTTTATGAACGCTGAATACATTGTTACATAACACAACAAAATATTCACGCAGACGTGAGCATGTATCTTATGAAATTCAGGAATAAGAAACTATCTGTAAAACGTGTATACCACGCGTTACAAGTCAATACAGGATCCCGCTTATAAATTATTCAACAAACCATCACTTCGCGTCGACATCACGGAGATCAGGTCTCAAAACGGATTAGAAAAGGGCGTGAGAGGTGGAGGCTTCGGAATTGTATAGATTGAATTATACATGATGTTCCTTAATGTGGGATCCGTTTGTGTATCAGGCTTATTGTTCAAACTGTGTGTCAATAGTTGCTTTGTTCTGTTATGTATGTATCGAGAAATTATGTATGTAAATACGAGTAGGTTTAAACTTATATGTTTCAAATATAGATTGATAATAAATATAATTTCGGTTTTAATATACTTTTCCGTTTTGACTGTGTACTAAAAAAATGTGTAAATAAATGCGAAGAGACAAAAAGAGTAAACAAATATGAAAAGTGATATGTTAGTTTAAATTCAACAAATTATAATTTTATTTCTACGATAGGATACTCAATGTAATTTTTTTTATAATAAGTAGGTATATAGAAAACTAAAAAGTTTTATTTTTACAGAAAAAAATGTTTCATTTTCAATTGATTACACCTGTTCCCTATTACTTGGGATGCTATCAAAATTTCGTGGAAATACATTAAGACAACATCTGCGTTTGAAAGCCGGTCATTAGATGAGTTTTAACTAACTTAGAAAACAGCCGTCAGTTTGAAAGCGATCTTAATTGACTAATTACAATAATTACAAAAATGTGTTATTATTACACGAATATTATATTGGAATATAAAACCTGACACTAGTTCACGCTCATGAATTTCTATACAAAAATGTTATCTTGTAATACAATGTGAGAGCTTGTCAAAGCAAGTTCTTCGAACCCTTGTCAATACAGTGCTTCTTATAAGAATGTCTTCTTTCAACATACTATTCAATATTCCTTTACGTTCTTCATAGATGAGAATTTTATTAAATTTAATTTCTTTGGATTCGAAGTAAATATTTAGAACATGAAAATAAATGAAAATACGTAAAAATATTATTCCATTTGTATTAATAATTTATGTAGGTGTGTCCGTGTATATTTATTATATAACTGTGGGTGATCAGACAAAAAATATTTGGATAGAATTTGAATTATTGTTTATTGTTAGTCTTAGATCTAAATGAGTACCAACGATTTTATATAGGCCTGGATTTAGGGTTGATTCCGAACAAAAAGGCCATAATTTTACGTAATTGGTGACACAGCTGTAACCTCATTTTCCAACAAACATATGTTGTATATACCTAATAATTACAATGTATTTTTGAACAAAGGAATTGATATAATAACTATCTCGTGTAAAAATACCCAGGTTCCTTATAACTGTGTTAGACTATTTTTTTAAAGAATTCTGTTACGTTAAGCCGGTTTTTCTTTTTACATTAAAAAAAAACATAGCTGACATTAAACCGATTCTTCCTGGTTTTGTGTCAGCTGCTTCGTTAACGGTAAAAAAGTACCTACTACAAGCTCGATATTGTTAACGAAATAAAAATAATAAGTAGGAATATAAAGAATCAGAATTATTTATCGGTGTTGGAATCGCGTAACATGGATTTTATGCTTCTTATTGTAACAACTCTTATATTCATATTTCAGAAACATATTTAGTTTTTTTTTTCCAATCATGTATTGGGGAATTTGTTTTGTGTGTAATATACAGAATACACTCGTGATGAAATTATCGTTCAAGTTCTGTTACAAACTTTGTATTATATGATTATATTTATTTTTATTTTTTTTGAATATATGTATATATATATATATATATATATATATATATATATATATATACTCTATTATTAATACTTCTCATATGTAAAACGTAGCACACTGTTTCTATCTATAAAAAAATCATTTCTATATTGGTGTTTATATAACAACTGTCGTATTACTTCAATTTTTGATAAAGTTATCAAAAATAAATTACATCAACATAAAAATCGCGAATAATCAATTCTATTGTTTGATTTTAAGGTCACGATCCCGATTCCTTTTTAAATATTGACTTAAAAAAAATATTTCTCCAATCTAAAATCTTTTTAAGTTAGTTTTTTATTTTTATCACACAAGTACTAAAATTACTTTTAGCTGGATGAAACATTTTTTATTCTCACTTTATTGAAATTTAATTAGGCTTTATAAAGACAGAAACATTTGTTGGATTCTTAACATGAAATATAATTTTGTATGATTTTAAACACTGTTGGATAAGTAAAATTATTATGTCAGCTACGTTTATGGTAAAAATTTTTGAATTTAGGGAGGAATCATTTGAAACGTACAAAAACTACCATGTAAATTTCTATCTATTTTAAGTAATATGTCACAAATGTATATACATTTAGAGGTGGTAGAGCCCAGCTGTGGTCAAATTACTACAGCTCGAACATGGGCTGGCTCGACCGGGGAAGTACCACCCTCTCACAGAAAATCGGCGTGAAGTAGTTTTTAATGGCTGCGTTTCGTCCGGGGAGTGAGAGAGCCGGGTGCCCTTTCCCTTTTCCCACCCTTTCCTTGCCCTTTCCCTTTTCCCACCCTTTTCTTTCCCTCCTTTTCCCACCTTTTAATCCCCATTTTCCCCAAACAAGGGTGGCAACACATCTGCATATCTACGTTGCAGATGTAAATGGACGACGGTAACTACCTAACATCAAGTAGGCCGTCAGCTCGATTGCCCCCTTATCCCATAAAAAAAAATACATATATACTTACATGTAATTGAGGATGAACACTGACAACAAGTCTCGACCGTACTTTAAGTCTCGCGTCTCGTCTCTGTTCACCATATTGATTATGAGCTCGACAAGTCCAAACTCCAGCATCAGATAGCTGAGCTCTTCTTATTATTAGTACTTGATCAGACACTGATATTCTGATGCTATTGCCCACGGGACTGAGACGGCCGTTAGCGTGGCGAAACCAACTAAAGGAAAATACGATTGTTGTTTTAATTGCAAATTAGTATGTAATTAAGTGAAGTGAAGGTTTTACCTGTATGTGGGTGGTGGGCTGCCGATAGCGCAACACACCAGCCTAATGTCCCCACCTTGTGGTACAGTTTCATCTTCAGATATCGTTAAAATCCGTGGAGCCATACTCCCAGTCGGATCTAATGGAAAATAATAATAAAATGGAGATAGAAGGTAGATAGCAGTGACAAATCTAAAAGTATAAATAACAATACCAAAAAACGGAGGGTAGATTTCAAATAATTTAAAAAAATTGATGGCATGACTTTATAAAAAAAGTTATTTCCGCAATAATTTATAAGTATATATAGTCTACTTTATTTTGAACTTTATAAATATATTTGAATAAAACTTAGGTACAGTTATAATACATATGTACATATATAGCCACATAATAAGGTAAAACCGACGCCTACCTTTTACCTTAAGAATGTCGTAAAGAAATCTCCAATTGGTGATAAGCCGCCTATGGTACTTACTCCTCTCACGCAGAGTGTGTTCAAACATATTTATTTTTTATACACTGTTATTATAGACTTGTGTCAAACTCATTATAAACATGTTGATAAACATGACATATTTAGTCATAGACATTCTTCTAGTATCAACTCTCGTATTTCATCACCCATGAAACTTCACATTTTAAGAGTCTCGCGATAGAATATGTATCCAATACAAATAAATTGTAACAACTCCGACGTGTTGTTGAAACGTAACCCTTAACTAAACTTAAGGTTTCATTTTGAAATTCGTTTTATCAAAGAGTATACATATGTACATTATACCTTTTTATCATTTTTTTAATGATTGAATAACAAAAATTATAATCAAATTCATTTTTTGAAGATATTTTTTGTCAAATCGAGAATCTATGTAGTGTAGTATGATGAATGTAGTTTCCTTTATGTCAGGTTTACTCTAGGTATCTCCTAAAAATCTATATACATAATTCACGGCCTATATATTATAGAAGTCTTTCAAAACTAATTCTTATCCATCATAAACAAAGACTACTATAAAGTTTTTATATCAAATGAACATTTATAATAGGTTATTGGACATAAAAATACAAACGTGAAACAGCAATCATAGCTGGTGGACTTCGTCGCTTCTCTCCCGTCAACGCGTGTTGAGCTTCGCACGAGTAGGAGCTAGCATCATCAGACCTGGCTTCTCGAATAACAAGAATATCGCCGCGACTGCCACCGATCATGTAACCACCACCTGCAACATATATATTTTTAGATAAGGTACTTACTTCTTTGGTATTTCTTTAACATGTTCCTTTCATCACTAAGGAGCACCAACTTCAGATTATTTCAAATTTATATCTCAAACGTTATTGCTATTTTCGTTATGCAGTTACTAAGCGGACAAAGTACATATAAAATTTGTTTTTATTACAAGTGTGTATTCATAAAATACATTATGTGTCTTTAATATAGCTAATATTAGTCACATACTTTTTTCTTTTAGACTATATTTAAAAATTAATAACCTATAAATATTGCCGACTAGTAAATTCCAAATAGGAGAATGTATTTGAAGCACAAATCTAGTATGAAGTAACTTGATAGTCTTTTGTTAGATGACAATGTAAAGGAAATTCAAGTGATACATCACAAACACAATTTACGGGGAAATTTCATTTAGTCAAGTAACTTTATACTTACAAAGTAACAACGACACTAGGTTTCTAAGTGAGGACACAGTAGAGCACGTTATTACATCACTGTATAAAAATTTTAGTTTTATGGGACGTTGCGTTTCAAACGTTATATCGCAAAGTACATTTAAGTAGTAACCGTAACAATAATAATGTTCTAATGTATTTTTATACATTTTTATCATTATAGAAATGAGAATAAAAATAAAATATTCATTTGAAATACGGTTCGGTAGACGAGTTTTTTGCAAGGATAATAATTGAAGTGCCTTTATTTTGAATTAAGACACAAGCAGAAACAAAACGTACAATGCAAAGTTTTTAACACAAATATTAAATAATAAAATGATAGTGATGTTTATAAAACTAACTATTGATATAGGCTCTTTGAAATGGTTGGTTGCTTTTATAAAAACAGCACTCGTATTCCAACGCAGAGCTTGTATGAGGGAAATCAATCAGAGAGTATACGGTGTAGTTAATCGATAATTAAAGTCTGCTATCTATCAAATTATGTCTGCAATCGAATGCAGCTGTAATTGTGGCTTGATTGATTAAATACCAACACTGATGAAATCATTCAAGACAATTTGTTTAATATGAGGCAGGCAGAATAAAATTATGTATATACTAATTCTTTACATATACATATATGAATAAACTCAATATTATTTATTAAAACCCTGAATACATTCAACCATTCTTCTTTAGAATATGAAAATTTATTCATAAATAATTTTTTTTCTTCTGGCAGTTTATCACGTGTAAAAAAGAAATAAAAATTAATATTACAATTAAATGATAATAAATAATTTTCATATATTCTTAAAATAATTGTCTCCAAGAAGCTATTATTAAGTTTTCACGAATAATTCGGAAGGAATTGGTAAAAAGAAATCATATAAAGACTAGATCTGCGACTGCGAACTATGAATAAAATTACATAGACTTAGCTAGCGAAAGAATATTACATGAACCTTTGATGTATTTTTATTAGATAACACTCTTAACGGCATTGAAAGAAATGCCACTGTACCTATTTTGTTTAAATGTTCAATTTTATTTTAAAAATTTATATTAAAATGTTAATAATAATATGCAATTTTCAAAAAAAGGTAAGATCGCTTTCTATAAGATAGAACCAAATATTGAAACATTGAAATAAATTCATACTCATGAAAAAATACTAAGTTAATAATATAACTCTCTTATTCGGGCTACAAGTAGTATTGTCATGTATAAAAACTGTTGGGCTGCGTCATCTTTCGTTAGACAATAAACAGGTACAAGTCTTTTGTTGTTAGTAATTGAATCTACAAAATTTCATTTTTAATGAAAAGTCTGACGAAATCAAACAAGAAATATATATGAAATATATCTGAGATAGAATGTCAGAAATGTCTAATTTATCAAAAGTGTGAATTTAAAAGACAATCAAATTTATCTGAATTAGTTCAGAGAGTAAAGGGCATCTTCAGAGTCAAAAAAAGATTTATTAATAGTGGTAATATTTTTTTTTCTAGTACTAATATTTAAAATCAAGTAAATTTAAAGAAGAGACCATATGTCAGTGAATACACTAGTAACAAAATAATTGAGTGATTTTTTCTAATTAATAATTATACGTCATGAAAATGTATATAATTGTTACAAGAATGCCTTTAACTATCAATATTGCGTTTATATTTTTTATTTATATTGATTATAATTATAAGAAGTGGTAGAAGACAAGTTATAAGTTGATAAATGAAAGATACGTTTACGCAAGTACGTAGAATAACGAATGGTTTTACTTTGAGGTAGCTCATGACTTAAAGATTGGGAGTTCGATCTAGTGCACTTACATATTTATAGCGGTGACACCATTACTGACATGTCAAATATATATTTATATTTGATAGTTTAGTGTTCAAGAGAATCATCGTAACAGTTTAAATATACTAAAAATATTTTCAGAATAATTTTAAGTAAAACTTAAAATACGTGAGTATAAAGAAATTATTTTTATATTTTCATTTATGGTTTAAAGTTTTTATTAATAGGATGAAATGTTGTTGCAATTTTTTAGTCCTCCCTTACTATATTCAATATATCCAAGAACCTCTTTCACCCGTCTGTAGCAGCCCCAGCGGTGGTCACCGTTTACGATCAGATAAGTTTCAGCTCCACTTTTTCAATGAATTCTAAATGCGAGAGACTTTTTAATTTCGCTGTCTCGTTCCGCCTACAGAGGAGCGACGGCACTTGAGCGTCTATCCCACTCTATTGTACAACTGATGGCTGATAGCATTGTCACTTTGTGTTCCGAAGTATTCTTATGACTTCGAGTCTCCAATGACCCTTAAGATCCTTAAAGTTTAAAACTGCTAAAGTAATTTCTACCGAAATGAATTATTCATGTAGCTTACTAGGAGCTTCATTTGTAATCTGACCAAAAATTATTAACATTGGGTATTAAACTTTGAAAAGTGATTGTAAAATTTCTTATAATACTTAAATCATATTTCCGAATAAAGAAAAGATTTCATTGGTAGTATTAAATATATGAACACATGACTTGTTTGTGTAACATGTAATTAATGTAAAACACATATTCAATGATTTGAGTTGAACGAGACCGGACAGCTTGAATTTTGTAAATCGTAATGAACTCGTTGCTTGCGGAGGGGCGATTATTTTAATTAATGGAATTTCAAATGACTTCACCAAGAGCGTCAAAATTAAAATGTATTTCGCTTTGAGACTGTCTTCTAGTGTCATTGTTCTTTATTGCGACTTTATTTATTACCGTGTTACTGTTTGTTTAAGTTAATTAATTCAAATGTAATATTGATCCGTACATTTGGAAGTCAGTGGTGGTCTAGTGGTTAAAAGAATTGCCTCTTATGCCGCGAGGGGGCGCGGGTTCGATCCTGGCCATGGCAAGTACCAATGTGATTTTTCCGAGTCATACGAGTATGTACTTTCTAAGAGTATTTAGATATCACTGATTATTGAGTTCCCAAAAAGGGGTGGATGTCAGGCAGGAGGCCGGTCGTAAAAACAATTACCCAAAACTATTCACAAGATGTAAGGCAGACCCTGGCTAAAGCTGGGAATTTGCCAGGTAGAAGAAGATTGATTCTTACACAAATTTTGGGAACTTAAAATTAGTAATAGATTGATAGTATAAAAACAAACATCTCGTCTGCCCGTGATTATAGTTGCTGTAAAGTAACCGAAACGTCTGGAGTATATAGTTTTAAAAATAATATAATACCCATAGTATCCCAAAATATAAGTTTTATTCAAATGAATACTCGCGAAAGTCTTAGATCTCGTTATGATTGATAGTACTTTAATTAATTGTGAAGTCTCGTAAAATACGTTTAATACTTTAGAATTCAACCTTGTTACGTTTTTGTAAAGATTTCATTTCCATTTTGTATTTTTTTAAATGTAATGAACCAGTGTTGTCTTTTTGATCTTTGTCATTTAATTAATACAAAAAATATTTTCCATATAAAGTTTCCACACCAACGAACAAAGAACAGTACGTATGAATATTAGTGAAAATTTTATTATAAAATTTATTTGTGAATTCATTTCAATCAACATACTTTTGTGACGTCCTTTTTAATAAAATATAACGTATATCTGCTATTCGATAACAAACGTTAGAGTAGATATTATAAAAACAATAGAAATAATACCATTGTTAGAATACATTCCATTTTTAAACTAAAACAAATCCCGAGTATTATTTCCACAATAAACAAAGGAATACAATTAACTGGATAACAAATATACAGGTAATAATTGCGTATTGGGGATCAGGTAGACAATGCGTCGGTATCAACAGCTAACCTCATTATACTCTTCCGCGTCGTCGGCTCACCATGCACCATGGAACTGGCTGATTGTAGGCATTGTTTCACTGACAGCCAAAACAAATAAACATGAACATTTCGATAACTTCAAATATATATGTTACAGTTTATTGTACTGTATATGACTAATTTATTTTGGTTAGAACAATTCCTACGTTTGAATTCGTTGAAACGTCGGTAGCCAAGCAATTAAATCGCAGGGCATTACGTAAAAGATTTTTTTTAAGAAAACCATAAAAATAATTAGACCTTTATTTCAAATGTATAATTAAGAACGCTTTTTAAATGGAATGGAGGAAATTACTTTTTCTAATTGAATTGAAAAGCAATTTCGATTTTGTTCTTGGTTTTCCTTTTTGAATTATGTGAACTTTTCTCTTAGAAAATTATAATTTGGTTATTGTTAAGTTTGTAAGTACTTCTTTGCTAGGACGTGTTATACTGTTAAATTTAATAATATTTATCATCGTACTAGAATAAAGATTTTAAAAACTAGAATTAAATGGGAGAATACAATCAAAATCTGCCTTTAATTAGTACTTATGACTTCAATGAGGGTGCGAAAAAAAATGCAAAAAATATCCTTTTGAGGCTCGAAAAATAATTTCACATATATCTCAAGGATAATTCAAAGCTGGATTTCATAAAACGCATTGCCCCTGGCAGTTGAGCAATGTGTGGGCCAGCGGTGTGAATAGTTAAACTAAGTTCACATGGCTGCTATTTAGACATGATTTTAACTTTACTTAGCAAAATACTAAACTAACTCTAATATTATATGTTATAATGAATAATAACCTTTGTTAAGAAAAACCTTCCGATATTATCTTCAGAGGAAGCTTATTTTAAATATTAATTACTTTGTTAATTTAAAGAAAACAACTTAAGATCAGGGACGGATAATTAAATAAATAGACGACGTAATAAAGAAAAGAATAATTTATAAATGTTAATTTTATATCACAATTGGAGAGTTTCAGAGGCAGATGGTGATATTACCGTGTCATGTAAACCTCGCTTTTGATTAAATAAGGAACATTATCAGAGTCGGCGACGAAACGCACAGGAAACGACATGGTAAATGTGTGACGTGTGACGTGTTAATTATAAATTATATAAAATGAAACCTTCCTTTAAGGGAGACTCACTTGATTACAAATATAACCCCTCTAGATGTACACGAAATAGGTACATGAACTAACTTGAATCGTTAGTATGTTTTAAATAATAATAAATGAATACTACACTGTTTAAATGCTTTAAACAATAGTTACAATAACAAAACTGAATATATTCCCACGGCGGCCCCGTATGAAGGTCCTATCAAAATAAACATGTGGAGTAAAGATAAATAACTATGGAATTAGCGTTGGTTCTAACGAACGCTCCCCAAGTGATGTTAATTTAGCCAAACAATAGTGTAACAACTTGTGCAACTCACTTGGAAAGTAAATGGGGATATTTTAAATAAATAATCATTATATCTGAACAGGAAAGTGCTTTTTTGTTTGATGACAATGTTCAAAAGTTTTTTTCGGGATTTTGTACAAAAATTTTCATCTGATTCAGATCGAACTTTTTAATTATTCTTATTTTTAAGCCGTGAGAAATTAAGCCAAGATCGTATAAAAATTATGGAAAAGTTGATTTACGTGTAACATTTCGGGAACCTATTGGTTCAGCAAAGTGCTATAAAGACTAAATGGCAGTATAATAAAACGCATTACTCCGGAGGGACGCGCTTGTATGTGAATGTATCGCTTTTGGATATTTATGTGAACATAACAGTAACATACAAAGTATTTATTCTATGTAGGTGTGTTGTTACAGCGGTATAATAACACAAAACGTATCATAATATTTATATAATCAATTCTCAAACATTATTCACATTTCGGTCAGCTATAGTATGTTTTTGGTTGTCATGAAATAGATTTTAAATACGATTCCTAATACCAATAAAAGGATAGTTTAATATACAAAAACGATTGACAGTTTTAAGGTATAAAGAGATATTTTCTATTATATTTGTCAGTGAAATGTATTTAATAGAGATTGTGTACACGGGTTTTTGGTTCGCTATTCGTAATAAACACTCATTCAAATCCGCCAAGTATCTTTATAATGAAATTCATATAGTTCTCATTAATTCACCGCCACGCTCATCAGCTCACTTTAATCCGGTGAAGCAAACATTCACAAACTTTCATCTCGGTTTAAGCTTGTGCCAAAAATTACTTGAATATTACCAAGGGGTAATCTGCATAAACGTCTGCGAATCTGCCAACTCAACGTACTAATAGAGCTTCTAGAAATGATTTGTTATATTTAAATATGATAATGTAAAGAAACACTGATATAAGAACTTACTTCACTATTAAGGGCCATAAATTTACAATTTCCCTAAAAATGTTGTTGAAATTTCAAAGAGTGTATCTATCTTTAAGCTATTCATTTCGTTGTGTCTTTATTTCCAATTCACTATTTATACTTTGAATAATTTTATCATCTAGTTGAAACTCTTAGCTTTGATTTCCTCAACTCCATCAAAGGACATTAATCTTGCATTACCGCTTTTAATTCCTCGACCTCCGGCGCTATTTAGACAACTTAAGTTGCAAATAAAATTGCTTACACTTTTTTCCCTACCAGCAAAACACGTTGTTTTATTTGAATTTCAGTTTGAAATTCTTTGTTATGAAATAAATGAAATAAGAAGTCCAGGATACAATTTATGAAGCGGTTCGTATAAAATTAAATATTTAAATACTAAATAATAGAACAGAAACCTTTCCCTACAAATTCCTTTATACTATTTTATTGATAAAAATATGAGGATAATAATATGAGGGGAGGCAATCATGTGCGAATAACATCCATGTGTCCCGTTGTTAAGATCGTAATCCGTCTCAAGTGGATCGTTCAAGACAAAGACAAACAAACTATGAGCTCACATTATAAATTCACATTTGGTTCTTCAATTAGTCGCCATTGTTCCTGGGGTTAGAAGCATTATATGTTACTTCAGTTTATTAATAAATCATTCCACTTACGTCAATATATTCATTTTGATACAAATTTAAATTCACATTTAATAAATAAAAAAATAACACTTCATTAAACGAAAAATAATTAATCGAGATCCTTAATAGTGCGGATTTAATTTAATAAAACCTTCTGTTTCTGTTGTTGACAGCAGCTTCGAAGAAAAAAATCTTAATTCTCACCCTTCTGAAAAGGCAATAATCGGGAAGCTGGCTCGGTGAAATTAATTCGCATTTTATAAGGTACCAACCGCTGGCAACTTTCCAGACTGGTATGATATTGAAACCGGTGTTTGAGTTTGGGATTTATAGCTGCGACGTTACTGTTAATCATGTCCCAATTAAAAACGCTCAAGTACACTATCGTGGCCTGAAATTGGGGAATAGAAGGTCGATTTGCTTTCTTACATTTTAAAATTCAGTGTTTGGTCTAATCTCTTGTAGATAGGCCATCTCCTAAATGATTTCTAATAGGCCATTGTTTAATGAGAGGATATTTCTTTTACTGACTTGGATTTCAACTTACCCGCTTCAGGTACCGGTGGAAGAACAGCTCCATCTTTGATCCATCGCGTCACGGTGACATGTGCTCTAACCGAAGCCGATGGTGCACACGTCATCAAGGCTGCGCCTCCTGATACACCGTGGGTAGGTTGAACTTGCACCTCCCATGGGACGTCCATTACTACATAGATAAAAGATAATTTGAAATATAATATTCATTTAAATAATATTTGTTAATAAAACACCCACTTGTGGCAGCTTCTCCACGGTTATTTATTCTGATATAAATAATGGTATACGATCTAAATAAATATCTCTTCTTTAATATTTTTAATTATTCAATTGGTTTTATAATAAAACTTTATTTTTAAAAGTGTAAAACGTCGTATGTGATAATATCAATCAATCAAAAACTATTTCTACTGTAGTTTACAATTTCGAATATGAACATCTGTGTGCTCGTACATAACTCATAGAATGTTTTATGATTTTCAATTAAATTTGTCAGCAAGCAGCCAGTTTCACAAATGTATTTATTTATCTGTAGAGTTTGAGATCTGTAATTAATTTAACAAATGCGACACAGAAACAACGTGAGATGAGATTAACAAGATTCACGGCATCCATTAATCTAATGGACATATCAATGTGAATTTAAATTAATATGAGATTATGTAATTTATACAAATTTATTCAAATTTTGTAGTTAAATACTTTCTTCGTATTATAATGAAATAATGCTGAAAAAGGGAAGTATTAAAAAAAAAAATGTCATATTTTTCTTTAAATTAGTTTATCAATAATAACATTTGTATGTCTTACAAAGTCCCATTTTTTTGTATAAAAATACTTTATATATTCTTTTCATTTCTGTACTTAATAATATATTTTCGAAAATTCAACTTAAATAACAAAAAAAATGAAATAGTCAGGTTTATAAAATTAGAAAAAAAAAATACAAATGTTCTCTTACTTAATTTTTTAAAATCTAATTTGCTAAAATATGTCCAATTGTAAGTTTTTAAAGCCTTGTGTTGTTACCGTTACTTTACACTAATATAATCCCCCTTCCCTCCCTCCCACGACATGACAGTTGCGGTATAATTAATTACATGGCGACACTGTCGGTCTGTGGGAATTGGGTTGCGGTGTTATGTGAGAAGGAATTCACAAATTAATTTGTAGAAAGAAGGTACCAGTTTAAAATGATAACATTAAGTAGAAATACGTTTGAAAGAATTTATTTATGTTTTTATAATACAGTCAATATTAAATGAAACTAATATTTTTCGGATAATACTATCCGTATTTTATTATTGTAAAAACTACATACTCCCGACATGAGTGACATTCACATCTCGTCTGCCCGTGATCACGGTTGCTGAAAAGTGAGCGAAACGTCGGGATGTAGTTTTAAAATAATAAATTACAAGTACTATAATCCTAAAAATATTAGTTTTATGTAACGAATAATCGCGAAAGTCTTAGATCTCATAATGTATTGAATATTAGCTGTGTAGTTTTACAGATTGTGTCTTTTATAGAAATGATTCAGAAACATGCACTAATTATATTTAGGTTTCTCTTAGATTTTTCTGGTACAAATTGTGTTTAAACATATTTTTCGGCATTGTTTGTTTCTTCGAGTACATATCGAATGAAAAGAAGATATTTAATTTTTAAAATAACATTAGATTTAAATAAATACTTCTAACGCAATTGTGAAGTACATATGAACACTCTGTATGTACTCGTTTGTAGATTTTTTTTTCCGGCAGGTTCTAGAGCCTAAAAGGCTTCTCGCTTATATATATGTGAATAGTGTCAATAGATTTATCTTTGTCACGATAGTGACACTGGGTATATCAAAATAAGAAAAAAATCGTAGAATTTTCTTTCCAAAACGTGATCTAAAGATCAATTTATTCAAAATACATCACCCGTTGTTTGAAATTATAAAAAATTGAGGTGATTATGAACATATAATTAATTATAATTTACTTTTTAATGGAGTTCGAAATAGCGTGGGCTAATAAATCACAGCACAATTTATGGCAATGTTATAAATGCGAATTGTGTTTTCATTTTTTATTTTTAAATGAATTTAATGAAAATGGCAGATGTAAACGTTTTTCTGTTACATTTTTTTATATTATTAAGATGTCTGGAGGAAGATTAAATAAACTTTTGTTCTATGTTCTCAACAGATTTTCATTTATTTGTTCAAAGAATCAGAAAAAGTTATTTAATTCCTACGTAATATCAATTTATTCCCTGTTATTATTGGTTTTCAGCTTAATTGGTATACATTAATTAAAACTTAAACTTTAATGATTATTGTTTCTGCAAAATAGATAATATTTGATGAAAGTTGTTTCCACGAAAATTAAAAATTATTGTATTTTCTCGTTTAATTAATTCAATTACGTTTAAGCATTTTATATTAAACGATACTTCGTGAAATACGTTTTTGATAGCTTGAAATAAATTCGCACAGCAAAAAGCATTACTCATTCAATGAAGATAAATAAATTTATCTGCCGAAGCAATTTGGAAATAAAAGAAATATTGGATTTTATTCAATTGATATAACATTCCGAGGCGCGACACGTATCAACTGTGAAGAGGCAACTCCCACTGAATTAGAACGGTTTATACATAAAATATAAGAGGTTTCGAGGAGCCTTGTAACGTATTTTGTGTATGAATTATACATACTCGCTTTGTATTTGCTTCTTCCTTAATAAAAATGTTTTTCATGATTATGCCATTTTAAAGATATACGACTGACTTTATTTATTGATAGTTTAAGTATAAAATTAAAAATCTATCAATCCAGATGAAAAACTAAAGTCTAATGTCTCTTAAAATATAACTTCGACTGTCTTTTTTTGCATAAATACATAACTTGTATGGAATTTGAAAAAAAGATATATTTTGGTTACGTTTAGTGTAGGACATGAAATTATTAAAAAAAATGTTCACTACATTTACTCATACAAACATAAATCTACCGCATTTTGACTGTTATTAATAAAATAGAATAAACCACAACCATTACCCACTTCATGTATTAATTATTCAATTAGTTGAAAACAAAAATTACCGAAATTTTGCGGTTACCTCACTTAACACTTTTTTTTATATTAGCTTTAAAAAACTCATTATAACAAATGCCCTTGACTATAACGTAACTGTTCCCATATAATATTTATTTTTATACGAAAACATTATTATTTACAGAATTCATGTCGGTTTAAATAATTTTTTTTTTGGGATATCTCAAAAACTATTACTTGAATAATACCCACAAAGTGTGGGTAGAGCTAGATATGCCGATCTCGTGGTCCGCATTTCTTCATGGTCATCTATGTATGTATAACTAGAGTTTACCCAACAAATAGATATTTCATATCACCTTACAATGCAGAGAATCCTTTAAGATAGAAATTTGAAGAAATAGTTAAAAATGTATTAAATGACTTAATAAACAATTACTATCCGTGACTATTTATTATAGGCATTGCAGGATTAGGGGGAGGCAGAGTAATCCGATGAGATGCTGCCGCATCAGGTTTAGTGCAGCGTAAGCGGCTTACACCCTTTGTTTGACGCTGTGTCCGCTTATTTCCCGTTTAATTTATGGTCGGATAAAATTTAATTTTGATTTTTTATTTTCAATTGCAATTATATATTATAATCTTAAGTTGAAACTTTATTAATAATGTCACTGAAACCCCAACTGATTATTCTAATTTGATAATATAATTAAAGTTTCAGAACCTAATGGCTCAACCAATTTAAATTAAGTTTACACAAAATCGCTTTTAAGACTGTTAAGTTAAATTAAAGCAGAGGAAGGCCTACTAAATTTATTATTAAGTAATAAAATTATAACAGAATATCATTATAAGTGAGTGTCAGTTACGAATTTATTGATAAATTTCCAGGCTAGGAAAATAATGATTCAATATTTTGATTGAAGCATACTTAATAAATATATTAAGTACCGCAATTGTTTTTAAAGGATTTTAAATTTCCAATTACTTATATAATCGTGTTTAATTTATTGTTTTTCTTTTGAATTATTACAGTACGATATTTCAATAACAATCGAATTCCATTAAGACTTAATAGACACCTGAACTCTTGAACAGACAATATTGATGTCGAGAATGTTTTCAGACATTTCAAATAAACAGTTGGAAATAATTTTCAGCAAAGTGAGAATACCTAATTTCCTGTTAACGAATTACCACGGAGCCTCCAATTTTATTGTTTGTAATACAATATCGACCTAAATTAAATTCCTGTTTTTTCTACAAATTAAAATATTTTCAAAATAAAAGTAACAGAGAAATTGAAAGCTTTGTGGTTCGTTCAGTGTTACTTGTTTTATTAAATGTTTTCCTTTTATTTTGTATACTCATTGTTTTTCTCGGTAAACTGAATATATTAAAGACACTTTATCAATACTTATTAATTTAACTTTAAACTTTACAAGTTTTTTTTATATTTAAAAATCCGTTGAATACACGAACTTAATTTGTACAATCATCAATTTTTATCAGCTTCGTGATCGTCGCAATAATTCTCAATAGTACTCTTGTCTGAACCGCATCCTCATAGCTTCACAGCACAATGCCCACTTCTCTCAACTACACGTGGTAATTGTTCATTTTGTACTCCCTTGATCACTATTAAAAGGACATTAATATGTTTAAAAAAATTTAAATTTTAAGGAAAATATATTGACACAAGTTAAAAAATTTCGGCTGTTTTTTTTAATTTATCGAGGATATAATAGTTTTATATCATTTCATTATATATTATCATCATTATAATAGTTTTATATATTATCATATTATATTTCATCAAAAGGTTTGTGATCATATTTAGGCTAATTCAATAAATAATTTTATAATGCTCGTCATATGAATACCACTACTGGACTGGATAGTGCTTGACTAACTTCCAACCGTTGGTAGGTGGAAATGACGTCGTAAGTTGTACGTTAGATATGACGCTCTCTCAGTAACAGCCCATTAAATTTTCCTTCAAGACACCCAAATTTTAATTGGAAGGAAACACAGATGTACTCTTTAGGGCCGTACTTAGATTAGCATCTTTATAATTTAATAACCAACTAAAAGCTTATTATTTCAAGTCCTTTTATAACGCCAAGAAATAAAATCAGGGCAATGTCTATTATTTCGGTTACCCAGTAAAACGGCATCTCAAGTGGGGTGTATGGGCTCTATTGTTTCCAAGATTGTGGGCTAAAAGCGTGTTGAGAGCGCTTGAGATATTGCTAGCAAAGCCTCTACAAGACCGATACATCAGTAAAGTGTTGTACTTGGCAAATATTTAAAGTTATGGCACGGGGGGTGCAACAACATTTTTGAACTTTTATGAAAAATATTATGCATTGCCACATAGGATACAAAAACCTATGATAAAAAGATTTTATTTAATTTATTTAACAATTTTCATTTTTTGTTACCATCGTTTTAATTAGTATGACAGAATAATAATGAAAAAGAAATCGTAAAATGAGTCACAAAACTTTGTAATCAAAGCAAACATCAAAAGCTGAATTATGATTATATTGAATCGTCAAACACTCATCAGAGTAAAAAGCTATTGAGATTTCTTAGATTTGAGCTGATTCCATTAACAGACCGTACAAAGGGATATCGGGAACTCAATCTCAGAGGTTTACGGCCCTCGAACCTCCTACATAAAGATTCGTATTTGCATTTCAGCCCAAGCGATTTCGACTTACGCCTTCACAAACGCCAATACTGTAGTCAAGTGGTTTTGTCTTTACGCAATTTCAGTCCTTATCGGGATCAGTTTTGAGATGACATTTGCTTGAATTGGTCTACTCATTGACGGATAATATTGGTGACGGATAGGTTGAAGACGTGAGCCGGACCGATCACTTCAAGTAGCGGTTTCATTACAGTTTTGCTTTTTATAAGAAGCACATACTACAATATATCAATGGTTGTACATTGTGGTTTTAAAGTATAGATATTAGCAACGAAGTTATTGTATTTTTTCGATACTTAAGTAATTTAAAGTAAAACTATGTTTTTCGTATATGTCTACGCGATTTTATTGATTTATTTTTTATTTTCCTCGACTATTTAATTACTTTACAAACACAGTGATCACGATTAAACGCGTAGTTAGATCTGAAAAACATAGATTATTTTTAAATGAATACTTTCGAAAATCTCAAATATCAATAGGTAGTTGACAAATTTTTAATATTAATAAGACAGCTTCTTCATATCGATAGTCTGTCTTTATCTTCAAAATGATATAATGTATATTACATTTATATCATCACACCACTTTATTTAATTAGTTCAATTATTGTCAAAGAACGCAAGTATCCACCCAGTAGTCCTTTTCAAATTCTATCTCACACTCACATTCTCTAAGTGTAGGTACGAATTTCTGAAGCTTTGAAAGTCATTAAAACGTCCTCAAAAGGTCAAATTTGAGTATGAAAGTAAAAAAATATCTTTAGTGACTTTTGTGAGCCTTTTGCGGGGAAATTGTATTAATTCTGGCTCAAAGGAAAACGATTCTGTTTTTTTTTTCTATCCGGTCTACAATTTAACTTTTACTCGGGCTATTGAATTAAAATAAATTAAAGAAAAAGTGTCCCCATTGTCGTAAATTCCTTTAGAAATATTGGTTGCTGGAAAATAAAAAATATATTTTTGCTGCTTATCTGAATCTTAAATATTCAATAATAATATTTCCATATGAAAATAATTTATTTAGTTCAAGCAAACAAAAAATAATATTCACAATACATTACAATGAATTTGATAAGGATGTTCCGCTTCAACTTGTAAGTGGGAATGACGCTGTCAAAACTTAAAGCGCTCAAAGTACTTATGGCGTTAAACTAGCTGCGACGTGCACTGAGAATCAGAATGTTCTTTATTCAGACATAAAGGCAATAATAGTAAACTTATTTACTTGCAACTTTTTAAAATATTATTGACTTATTCTATAAACATAAAATTATTCTGTGCAACATTCTCTAATATCTGTTTATAGGCACGTATCTTCCAGATAAGCATCGTAGTTAGGATAGCAATTTTGTAATATTAGTACAATATTACAGCAAATACTATCTTGTATCCAAGGTAATATGCAGGCACCTTATTTGATTAAGAACACCGGTTTAACGAGAACCTTGTTGATAGAAACGTTATAAATTTTCGAAACGATTTTTCAAGTAGTTTTACAACAAAATCCTATACTCGGTACACCATATGGTTTTGTACTATTTGAAGGATAATAAGTATTAAGATTCTTAGTAGTTTATTATGGAACAAAATCAACTAACCAGCCTCTAGCCGCATGTCTCTTGACAGAACAGTACCCACAGTGCCCGAAGCTCGACAACGATACAAGGCCGCGTGTACATCGCTTCTGTACTGAGCTGATGAGAACGCGCCAAGCCACAAGGTACCGTTTGGCAGAGCCTCTCTGTAACAAAATATAATTTAGAATTAATTTTGCTACTTCAATGCGTACAAATGAAAAGCAAAGTTTGCAAAGTGTTGTATTGGTCATTGTAAAAGACGCCTATATTGTCTCGAATTAAAAAATCAGAGCATAGTCTCTACTACGTTACTAACTATAAATACTTTCTCTTCACTACTGAAATATTTAAAAAATGAAGTCTTTCACGAACGTAATAGCATTGTTTTGATAAAATACAAAATTAAAAATGAAACACCTCACAACTTTTTAATCAAAATTATGTTAATAAAAAGTTATTACTTTTTTAATAAACTCTAAATTACATATATACAAATTAATTTTATCAGTTTTTGAAGCAAAAGATATAAAATTTAATTTATTTATATTATTTGCTAACTGTCTAAGAAGTTAATATCGTCTTTATGAAAAATACCATTTCGTGTAATATAGAGGGTTCAAGAGAAAAAAGGACATATCATATCAATAACAACGTCGATCTCATGATCCAACATACAAATTATTTTTGGATGGTTCTTTGAACTAGGCCAATTATAATTATGCAACATATATATTATTGGAAGTGGGTACACAACATGAGTAGGAAGAGTAAAAGTAGTTAGCTAAACCTTATAACTTAAAAAAAAAACAAGTTAAGAAGTAATAAAATCTTTGTAGAAAATATCCTTTTAATAGAAAAGTGATACATCTTCGTGTAGGTCGAAAAAACATGGCATTTTATAAACGTTTAATTTGTATTACAATATCAATTATGTACACGAAGCGTGTTTCTTATTAAAGTCAAAATATAAAGAAGTATATCATGTTAATAAATATTCTCTATTTCTCTTTCCAAAAATAGTCCATTCCCTAGAGGGTATTTGTAAAAAGGTGGGGCTCCACTAGAACAGGGCCAACAAAGTAATCCGGTAGAAAGATAGCAATAGTTAACCCAATTGGAAAAACATTTTTTTAATGTCTGCAATACAAATTCTATTCTACAAAGAGATAGACTCTTAAAGAAAAATTACACTTAAGGGAGGTTTTTTTATTAAAGACATCTCATGCCTAGCCTCTAGCTTCAGAGTACCGCCTTGGATTCAAGGATTGAAGTAGTAGTATAACAACTAATCAAGTGACCCCATAAACGATAGGTTTGTACAGTTATATTATAGAATTTCTATAGCCTCCTTAGTTCCAGCACCAGCTAAGTTTCATTATAATAATCCATAGTCTTGCGATGTATTTTTTATATGTAAGTAAAATCAACTTTAACTTGACAAAGCCCTTATTTGCGATATGTATCATGTCTCAGTACCTGATAGAGAAAATGTGAGGTTCAAAAAGGTTCTCTAAACATATTGAAATATAATTAACAAAATTGTTTAAATTGTTTTAGTAATTATGAAATAAGAGTTATAAGTACTCCATATTGTTGAATTTTTAATAATCTCCAAAATATTCGTAAATATTACAATATTGAAGCAATTTTTTGTACAAACATTATTAAATTTAATACCACATAAACAAACAATGAATAAAGAAACGTTTGATAACAGATTTTATTATATAAATACTTTTAATGAACGAAAAAAACGTTCCCCACATTTAATTCTATTCAATATACTGCCTTTGATAATTCGAAATCGCTATAAAGCAATTCCGATCCGGGTGAAAATGACGGCTTCCCAAATCAAAAACCATTACTTTTGATAAAAAAACATATTATCTGAACAAAATAATGCGTTTTAGGTTGTAAAGACTTTTTATAGTTTCAGAAGTTATGTATTTTTATTTTATAATCATACAAAAAAAAATGGATTTTTTTTGTAATATATTTATGTAATGATTATAATTGTTTTACATTTTCCCTTTAATTTATATAAATGAAACCTAAAACGATTTTTTATTCCTTTCTTCCTCAAAACTACTACTTTTAAAACTTAAATTGGTTATTAAATTAATGAATATATTGCACATAACAAGAGTTTTGTCCGAACAGTGAAGTTACAGTAATTTATTGAAATATGAACCATTATGAAAGATGATAGGTGTTGAAGTACATCGAATAATTAGACGAATATACGGTTTAGTTATATAGACGAAAACCCGTAATGAAACGGCTTCATAAGTCGGTTGCTCCCTTAATTGCGTCTTAATGATGAAACGTCTGCTTCCGTTTGCTTCGTGCATCCGTTTGCTTCGCGCTTCCGTATGCTCCGCTTGTCTGCTCCGTCGCGAGCACGATGAGTGGAAATGTATGGAAAGCGACTAATAGGTGGTTTACCACTAAGCTTGCTCTCATATTAGTGGCGTTTCATAAAGGGATCGTTATTAAATTCAAATCGAAAAAATACTGGAGAGTTCATCATGGAATAATGATATTAAAAACAAAATCTTAATGTTGATTGGTTCAAAATATAACATGACATAAATTATATAAAAAATATCGCATTTTATTAGTAGATAAATTTTATTTAATAATGCCTTAATATTAGTAAGGCGTAAGTCGTGAACTCTCCCAGAGGGAACGCTCAGGACAAAAACTAAATCCATCAAAGCCATATATCAATTCACTAACTATAGTAACGGGGTCAACAAGGGTCTGTTGAAATTCAAACTAGCCCGCACTTTCAGGCAAATAAATGTCCTCAAGTCAAAAGTGAGAGCGGGGACGGTAACTTTTAACAGTATATGGTATTTTCTAATGGGTAACCTTTTGAAACTCAGATTATTACATTGTGATTTTTTTATTTCAATTATTTTTAAGTATACGAGAGTATTAGACACATTGACAAAAAAAAAAGTCGTACAAACGATGGATTCAATTGTGCGTATGACATATTATATACAAAATTATATTTCAATTTTCTTTTTCATTAAAATAATGGGTATTCTTATCACCTGCTCCACACACGTATCCTATGGGATCGTAAAACGGTTATTGCAGTATATAAGGATGTTGGTTTAACGGCCTATCCCAAACACTGTTTACGCTAGCGAAGCAAACATGTTCACGTAATCATGTAAATGGCGATACACATTAACATGGGCCTAAACGAAATAAATGGAAAGCCCATTTTGTAACTTCGCCAACTTAATAGAAACTTCGAATTGAAAACTACTTAGTTGTTTATAACTATCAACTATTAATATGACAATATACATACATGTGATAGTAAATATCAATTTAGGACAAACTATACCCATTACATGTAGTAATTGTGATTAGTATTGTTTAAATTATATTAGTATTAAAAAAGTTGTTAAATTAACAAGTAATTTTCTTAAATCATCATATTTTCTAATGAAAAACCTTTTTTACTCTTAATTTTGTTCTTAGATTTGTTGTTATATAGTAGTAATGACTTTAGATGAGCCTTGTAACCCTAAAATATCTAAATTGCTTACTACCAAGACTTTTCCTTGTATTAAAAATATAACAACAAACATTTCAATTTGAAAATTATTCGTTATTAAAGCCTATTCGTTCTTCAAAATTTTATTGACCAACTTAATGTAAGGTTATACAAAAGTCACATATTTATAGGAATACATAATAAATAACAATACATCTATTTTGATCTAAATTATAGTCACAAAATCTATTACAAAAGACAATTCAAGTACACCTGTTGAAGAAAACTAATTTCTGAAAAAGAATTGGGCTCAAAGTAGCATGAAAAGATATGAAGACACACCTTTGTCCAACTGTCAGAGGACAATTTCTAAAGAACGGCCCTCAGGGTATAAATGTCCAATAACCCTCTTCGCTTTAGTTATACGCACGAATATTTTAAATCTTCTCTCATTTTTAAAAAGAAACAAAACCTTTCTTCAGAAGCTTAGGTTAAATTACGAGTTAATAAAGAAACATACTGGGAGACTTTGTAAATGGTAATAGACAATTTTGTTTTCTATTATGCCATTCCGTTGCAGAATGGGTGGCGTTGAACAGACACAAGAAATATTTCTTTTATTTGGGTTACTGCTGCGTGCTTTAATCAAGCAATGTTGGTCCGTTTTTGGTTAAATGTTTAAAGTTTGAGTATAAAATTTCAGTATAAAACTTTTGTTGTTTGGTGTTAAATTAAAGGTAAGTATTAAGTTAATATTGTTAATTTAAAAAACTGAATTTTCCCAAAATGATTGAAAATATAAACCTATTAATATTTTGAAAACTTTAGAATTAACGAACAATAATTATAATTTCTCTCGTAGACAGTAGCATGGCTAATATTCAATGTTTGTAAAGATGTGTAGTCAATAAACACAATAGTGTTACAATATATTTTATACAGACGAGCCTCAAAATTCAAGCCGCATATTATACAAGTATAACTCAAAGGCCAGAGTAATTCCAGATATATAAATCATAGTAGATGCACCTTTGAGGAGGAATAAAGTTAGCGCAGAACACACTGAAATCAAAAACCCATCACTTGATTGAGTTTCATTGTCCACAAAAAACAAACCTCGTTTATATTCAAAGACAATTATGTAATAGAAATATGAAAACAAAGAGTAGTTATTTGGAGTTAAAAAATTAAAAGTAGAATATAAGGGCAGAAGACTTCTAATATGGAGTGATATCGTTTCAACAGTCATTTTGTGACTACAACTAGAGAAAATTGACTAAAATTAGAGTAAACACACACACAGTCAAACTACGTATTTTAGTGCTATATTTGTAATCTGGTAACGTTAAAGTCTCAAAGAAAATATATTTCTATTCCATAAAATGCCAAGGGATATAATCTAGCTAACATGAAAATACGGCTGAATTTCAAGATATTTTCTGGTATTTTCAACAGAAACAATATTGAAATGAAAAGGTATATTTTATTGGTTATGCTAATGTCCTCTTTTAAGTATTAAGGGTAGCTGAATAATTTTTTAGGAAACGGGGGCAAAAAGGTTTTGTTCGAGCGACCTTTGCCCAGTTCCGGCGAAAGACTGTTAAGGAACTTTTATTGCGAGGCTTTCACTTTCCTATAAGATTAAAATGCGACGGCATCGCCCCGGGACACATTTAGATTATCGCCACTTTACTGAAATATTCATTTTAAAGGAAATTGGAATTTTGTTACGACATTGTTTAATATTCGTATTTAACTTTAGTACATACTTTGTGAGGTAATTGGATTGACATAGCAGTAAATACAATGGCCCTTTTTATAAACCACAGTATTTTATGCAGCGATGAAAAGGATATAAGTTTGCGAATTAATTAGCTACTAGCGATATTCTATTAAAATATGTCTATATTTAATAAATAGGCAGGCAGCATTTGATAATTAAGTGTTAAGACCTAAAATATAACTTGCATAATTCACCTGATTCGTTTTGTACTAGTAAATTAATATTTATTAATTCATACTCTTAACAAATTTATGAAATTGAGATTTCTGAAATATAAACAAACAAGAAAATATAAACAAAAGAAACATGTGGTCATAAAATTAATTATATGATTATATATTTTGCACATAACAAAAGTATTTCCTTTAGAGCCCATATCTTTGTTTATAGAATATCTGAAAACGTACGTATATACTCTGCGGAGTTTCGAGAGAACGTGCCTATGAAGCTAAAGTACTAATATTATTCTGTTTTGAAATACAGCAAATATTTGGCCAAGCTTCATTGCTGCAGTGATTTTCGTCACATCTTTACGGCCTCCTTTATTTTATTATTTACTGCCTTTAAAATAAATGAAGCATTCTATAGACTTTAGATTTAAAATATTCCCATAACTATTATATTATTATCGGTTGAAATAGCTAGTTATTCACACAAAAAAAAAAAACCTTAATTATTTTACAATTTTATATGAAGTTAAAATTAAAGTCAGGCGCATTTAAAACTACTTTTATTTTTTTTTCTTTATTCAGTATTTAAATCCTTTGTTGTCTGATTAATTGCATCATTTGCTTTGACTGACACATTGTACGTATCATTAAATTGAAATTAATTATTTTTTAAATCAGTCGAAATTTTTTGTTTTGTATATTTTTCGCTACTTTTTCGCTCTGAAGCTAACCTGTTTTGATAATAAAAAATTTAAAGTCGTCCGCAGATTATAACGGGAAACTTTTGAATATAAGATTAATACTAATTTGCATACATTCTTAACAATCATTAGATATCACCTTTTAGAGATCTTAAAAATACATAATAAATTAGTTTTATACCTGTATATTAATATTAACTATTTATATCCATTTAGCGATAACGAATTAACAACTTAACAATTTATCCATGCCTCAGTGTAAATCGTGCTCTGTAAGGATTCACGACACAAATAACAAAGGCAGAGTGATGCGGGTTAATTGTGTTGAATTCCCTTTGGGGGCAAAAGTTAAATTAAAGGCTTGTCTACATAGTTTCAATCAGCATTTCCAACACTGTACATACAGAGTGCCGTGAGAATTAAAAAATGTAAATGATTTATTTATTTTACATTTCATTATAAAAGCAAATTATTGTTTGGGTTATCTTAATGTAAATAAAATATATCAGATTCTGAAAACTTATTTAAATAAATCTTTAAAAAATATATCAATCTAATCTAGTTTCATTTAATAGTCATTCTGATAAAGCTGTTCGATGCTTTATTTGAAATTTATGTATTCTTAATACATATATCAACGAAAAATATCGATAAGTTCGAAAATAATTATAAATCAGTAACCTATTTTTTTTTTTGCTTTCGTTCATATCTGTAACCCGTTTATCCATTCTATAATAATATATTTTTAGATTTTCTCTGAATTAATAAAAAATATATCAAAGACAAAGTAACAAAACAAAATAATTATTATTTTGTAATATTTTATAGTGGAAACTGTCAGTACTCTGCATATTTTTAATTAATATCGCATTTACCGATTCCAAGAAAAAATTTGCATTAGGTATTGTATTACAATATATGTATTGACAACGACAGATTGATGTGTTACGATTAACTAAAATATTATTTTCTATAAAAGAATTTTCATTTAACAAAAAAAATCAAACTGTGAAAATTAATCTGTCCAGTTTTTATAAGGTAAAATATTTTTATCGATGTGAAATCTTCGTATGATAACTTTAACCAACAAACCGTAAAACATACTTATAAAGTTTCCTACTTGAAACTATAACGTAGTGTTTACCCGCCAGCTCGCTCCGACCACGACTCGTTTATAACCGCTTTTTATTCACTTTTAACTTTCACATTCTATTTTGTTACAGTATAAAATGGATGCATTGAAAATAATGAAATATGTGTATATTTTTTCAAGGAAATTTTAATTTTAACACTCATAAACTTTCATTCATTTCGTTTTTAACATGGACTGTTTAGGTGAAAGATTCGAGTTACCTATCCGTCAAATCATTTATTATACAATTCTATTGAATTCCGCCGTCATGTATTAAACACAAGCTAATCCAGTAAGTTTGGAACTCCACTGAAATCCATTTATACAGCAATCCTTCGTCACCGCAAAACTTTGACCTTCAATAGAAGTTTGTTTAAGTGGAGTGTGATTTACATACTCATTCAGTTATGTTATTTGGTGCAAATTAAGTGTTGTTTTAAGCGAATAAATTAAACGGTTGAAAAACAAGATTATTTAAATAGAGTAATATCAATGTAATAATATTAAAAGTGTTTGCTTGTTGTAATATGTTTGACTGAAATGTTCATATATTTAGATTTATTTTCAAAGGCATGTGTGGGATAACCCAATCAAAGGTGTCCGGCGTTCGACGAGGTCGTTAAAGGAGGGGACTGAGCTCAATCATATTATGTTATCAAAGCCCCATATCGATTTAACATTTTCAGGTTTATTTCATAAAAGCTGTTCCGCTTTATGTATACCCTATTAACAATATACATCATAAAAAAATTCAAAGATATGTGCTGAATAACAATTACAATCAGTAGTACTACTCTAATTTCTGATACCTTTCACATTATTATATTTTATATTATATAAACTATACAATGTTGATCGAAACGTTTTTTTTTTTAATATTATTGAGTTTTTTGTTAACATATATGTATTTCTAGTGACGTCATGACGTGATTGTAACATAACATATTCAGTTCGTTGACGAAGGCCCCTAGGGTCGGAGAGAGATGAACGTTGTCCCCTATCCCTACTAATATTATAAATGCGAAAGTAACTCTGTCTGTCTGTCTGTCTGTCTGTCTGTCTGTCTGTCTGCTACGCTTTCACGCCTAAACCACTGAACTGATTTTAATGAAATTCGGTACAGAGATAGAGTTGACCTTGAGAAAGAACATAGGATAGTTTTTATCCCAGACTTTTGAAAGGTTTTTGGAAACGCGATATAACAACTCCACGCGGCGAAAAAGTAGTTAGTAATTATTGGATTTTGGAATACATGTGAAGTTTTTTTTTTTTTTTTTTTTTTTTTATGTCGGTGGCAAACGAGCAGACGGCCCACTTGATTCAAGGTGTTACCGTCGCCCATTGACATCCGCAACAAAGATGTTATGCGTGAACCTTTTTTATAGGGATAGGGAAGGGTAATAAGGATAAAATAGGGAAAGGGCAACCGGCTCTCTCATCAAAACGCAGAAAAGGCTACTTCACGCCGATCTTCTGTGAGAGGGTGGTACTTCCCCGGTCGAGCCAGCCCGTGTTCGAGCTGTAGTAACTAACCACAGCTAGGCTCTACCACCTGGGAAGTATAAAACTTAATTTGTTTTTAACAGAAAATGTAGCTTGGCCACAATGAAATGTCGATAATATTCATGTATGCTCATTTGTATATGATTTAACACTTACTAAAAACTTCTGATCAAATTCGAATGTGGTTTTGGTGGGTGTCCACAACATGCAGCTGGGAATGATGTGTATGGCTTAATTTGATTTCTAACTCATGCAAAATAACGTAAATATTTTATTATTTATCTCTCGTATTTTACATTTAGAAGACAATATTTAAGTACTCTGTTGTAGCCATGACTGCATAAAAACTAGATGTATGTATGTGTCTATTTAAATTTGTTATGAAAATCTAAGAAATAAAAAAAAAATTATAAGATATATTTTTAAAAAATTATATAAAACACAATCGAAAAAAAATTCATAAATTATGTATTTTGTTATAAGAAAAAAGTACCTATATAACACAATGAAAAAAATATTCAAGTATGTATTATATAAATGTCTAAATAACGTACTGGAATAATTTATAATCACCAAATATAGTATTAGTGTATAAAATTGGTACTTTAATTACAGAAATCAGATGAATATAAAATATTGAATTCTAAGACTAAGTAGGGAAATGATATGTTTACCAAAACAATTAAAAAACGGGGGTATATACTTGTAACGATATTTTCCGATTTATAGGTAATTACAAAATTTTCTCAAATGTCTAACTTACGCTTTCCTTTAGAAAAAAAATCTGTGTTTTTGAACTCTCTAAGTTTATTATACGTTGTAAAATGTTAACCTTCAAATAATAATAAATACATGTTATACGAGTTATATAGAATTAGAGCCATACAAATACCAGAGTTTTAAGGAAAACTGCTAAACTTACTTAGACTAACAACAAATTTGTACATATCTAAAACTTATAAACTATATCTCAGATTACATTTTTTAACGATACTACAAGATGGTCCAAAAGAAATTTTTCTATGGGAAGATGCTCTAATTTTTTGCAAATAGCTGTCAATATCAAATCCGTTATCACATTTGTTGAATAGACAGATGCAAAATACAAGTAAACAAGACATAGAGCGATGCAATCGCCAAAAAGTGGAATAATCGTATCTTTCTTTTGTATAACAATTTTTCTGTGATGTTGGAGCAGCGCAAATTCCGTCGCCGATTCCCCGGCCGTCAGATACCGACTGCGCAAACACTGCGTCTTTGGACACGAACATTGAAAAGTATTCGACCACAAGAGCCGTTGCCAAGAGTGGCCGGCTCTATAGCGTCCGTTCTGTTGGGAATATCGCCGCTGTGCCCGAAGAATGCGAGCAATCGCTGGAAACACCGATCAGACGCTGAAAAACACGCAATAAACCATGAACTAGTCGTCCCGAAGGTAAATATTGGTCAAAAACCTGCGCATGTCCCCATACAAAGTTGACTCCATTCATCAGCTACTGCCTGCCAACCACCAAACGCGCCTAGGCAAAGTCCCAGCCATCCTCAATTTTTCGACCAAATCTTGAGAAAGAAGTTCCTTCAAGCATTTTTAGACCAAAAACATAAATGAGAGGGCATGGGGCGCCTTTTTCGCTCTCAGCGAGTACTTGAACAAGCACGAGACTCTTGAAATGAGTCCATATGGCAAACAACTGTGACGGCGCCATTTCGCCGATATAATTTTCTCGACTTAACAAAAAAAAATCTAAAAGATCAAATAAACACAATCAAAGAAAAGAATCGAAATTTTCCATTTAGAAAAAAATAAGAGATCAAAACAACATCGGATGACTTCCTTTGACCCACCTTGTATATAGCAGCAATACGATCATATATTTTGTGGTATCAGGAATGTTCTCGTTCACACGTCCAAGATTTTTCGGTCCAAAGAGTGTGTAGCGTCACCAGTTACCTGGTATTTTATCTATGCAATAGTATTATCTCGACGATTTTATTTAAATTCTGAATATATTCTTCTAGTTTACTGAATTATTATTAATAAAAGCCACGTTCTTCAAAAAGAAAATTATGCAGAAAAGTATATACGAGTACGCTTGACAAGGATGTATGACTAGACTCTGAATTTCTTTTAAAATTATAAAGAAACTTTACAGATAGATAATTTATGTATTAAGCCTTCAACTGTTTAACGAAAAATTATTTGGAATTTAAATACAGTAACTATGACCCTTTTCCAATATTATACTATTGTATTTTTGTTATTTTAAGGCCCAAATTAATTAAGGTAAAATTTTGTGTAAATGATTGTAAAAATATATTTGTGGCAATAATTATAAATATATTATAACAGTAATTAAATAATACGTTAAAATAATTTGTTTGAAATTAACGTAGATTGCAAACAGACTTTAAAATAAATACTGACAAAGGGGTTACAGTAAGTTTTGAGTTTATCATTCACAAATCTTCGTTTATTCTACCATAAATTAAATTAATTAATTAATGCCTCAATAACTATCGGAATGTGCATATACGTACACGCTAATTTGTTCATATAATTTAGTTTTTTTTCTCAATCACTTTTTATTACTGATTTATAATCTGATCTACCAAAAAAGTAAAAGCTAGTGGAAAAATATACAATATAAAATTAAAAATATAACTTTAATTAAACGAAGGTTTAACTGGAACATTTATTTTACACCAGAAACAAAACTATAAGAGTTCCTCCATCAATCATTCTAATGCACTTTTAAATCCTTAAAGTTTCTTGAATGCTGGAAATTAGTTTGAAGAGAAGTTTTAAAATGGTAACAGATCATTATAATAGGAACACATTTTTAATGAACAAATACACATTTTTAAATATGTGTACACTTAATTACGCCGTGATCTTACCGCCATCTTTAAGAAAAATTGGATATAAATTACGTTTTACGTGTTTCAATCAAAATCAATATATATTTTATACTAAATCAACGTATTTATAAGAATAGTTTATATTTATTTAGAATGGTATTGATATTAAGAATATATTAATTATACATCGGTAATATAGGACCTGGCTGAAGAAGAAACTTTTTATTGAAAGTTTTTAAAACAAGACATTACTTTGTAGCAGTAACTTAACATTACAACCTATTATTATACCGTTGAATTCACGAACATCATTCTTCATTGACATGACAGAGAATAAACAAATGATTTCCTTTTGCAAAATAGAACAAATAGGTAAAAACGTCTCCCTTTATTGTGACACCAAACTCTCTTATTTCACCGGTGTGATAAATGATAGATAAATTATGTATATGATCTTGTGGTTTACGTTGAGAAGACGCGAGATAAAAGAGATGAGCAGAGAAATCATATTAATTTATAAGGCTTTTTTAATAAATTATTCATATAAAGGTATACATTTTAACTACTGGCCTCTCAACTTTAATATTCAAACATGAACCAAATATATGAAAGATAATAAATAAAATGTGACTATATATAGGCAATAAACATTAATTAGGATGGACTCCAGTAATACATTCGCTTCAGCTTGTCCCTCGTTCTGAGGGTTCCATTTCATTCTCACGCCCGACAGGCGCACTTTGTCTTCGTTACAGTAATAACGTCTGCGCGTAATGGACACCCGACTTTATACTGCAATGGACATTCACCCTGTGTCATATCTTCCTATAAATCGAACAGCTAAAATTAAAACTCTATAGCTTTATCGACGGTCACTTATAAGAATGTTTTACAAAAACAATATTTGGTTACAGTGAAATTAATTTAATTTAAAGTGAAAACGATAACAACTACGATATAAAAAAATATTGATAGTCATAAAGTGGCGAATTTAATTACTGAGGAATGCCTTAATAACAAATAATTTGATAAGTATGGGATTAGGGGATTGATCTACATATTGGATATAAACAATTTAATTCATTAGTTTTATATTCGTATACATTAAGATAAACATGGGTTATGATTCATTGGTAGAAGAAAAACATTGTGCAAACAATATACATATATGTATGTGTTTCCACGTTATTTACTGGGGCTATTTTCGTCAGTGAAACAATATCTAGTCAAAAGAATGACCTCTATTCTTTTCATGAAAGCTAAAACTTTGACGAGGTATTTTTATTTGAAGGAATTTAACTTTTCTAAAATTAACCTGACTTTTTTATTTATTTATGCAGTAACCGTGACCTCAAGCACATAATGAAAATGCATAGACACACAGACACTACCATCCCGTCAGTCCAGTTTTACTAGTATTGGTTTTTATCAATTATTTCTTAAGTGTTTCGCTTACTGCTCTGGGTTTATAAAAAGTGCTATTACACCACCTTTCTGGCGAGTCAGCTATCATTGGTAAATCTTTGTTTCTGATAGTCTAATATCTAAGCAACGAATAGCATCTAGAAGCAAGCTGCAGCTGCTACCAGATGTGTAGTGCTTCTATTACAAGAACTCGCTAATTTGACTCACATTCTAGTGACCTACCTATCTTACCTATCTTTTGAACTACATTATGTGAAAGAACTTACTGTCAGAATCTGCAAAATCTTTCAGAATGTGCGAATAAGAAAAATATATAAAACACATAAAAACGTGAGCCAACTATTTAAATTCATTAAGAGTATCATAACCAGTACAAACCCTTGATCGTAACTAGTTTATATAGCAAACAAGGGAAACGACAACCGATACTAGAGTTGAATAACATTTCTAAGACATTAAATATAGATTGGCATCCATGCCAGTTGTGTGTGAACATAAAAAGAATAAGCTAAACCATTTTATCTGTTTTGGCAAGCCACATATCATCTTTCGTGATTAATTGAAATTAAAAACATCAGTACTTTAGTTAAGAAAACGGGTGATACTTATTGGGCGACTTAGTGTTTTTCTATTCAACATATAAAATTCCTGGTTTAAAAACACACCGCAAGACCTTTAAATGCAGTTAGTAGTACATTTTGGGCGGATTTAGAGTAGTACGTAAGGAAATAAATAATACGTTGGCGACAACTGACAAAAAATGAAATTAATTAACAGTTATTTTAATTCGTAAAAAATTAAAACGTAGAAAAAAGGTAGGATAATAAAGTACGTAATATCATTCATGTTCAAAGGTTAAACTTGTTATGTCTTTTTAAAACATATTTAGAGTTTCATAACTATTTCCCTAAAGCAATAAAAATTTAATATTTTAATTAAATATAAACAACAACAAGAAGCAACCATAGCACATTATCCTTTTTGGTTTCACCACAACAGGTTAGTAAAAGAATATGAATCTATCATATATACTCCAAATGTTGATTCTGCCTACATTATATGGCCAAGAATCTCATTACAATTTTTCATTATTACTAAACCAGGATCATTTCCTAACCGTTATAAATAGTAATAGTAAATGTATGTCGACGGGTCGTTCGTCTTCGTTATTAAGCGGCAGATAATTGCTAGTGTGAATGCCTCCATCTGAGAGGGTCATAACTCATTTATGTTCCAAGCCTGGAATATTTATCTCCTTAAAGCTCGCATCCAAAATTGGCTTTATAATATAAATGTAGTATAAATACCGTTATACCTTCTTTTCTATTATATTTATAGTAGCCCGATAAATTTATATTGTAATTCATAATATCAGGGATATGTTTTCTTAGTACATACTAAAATATGTACATCTGAAATATCTCGTCTTATCTGTGTTTCACAGACCAATGATGCAAGAATCCGCTGAGGTACATTAAGCGATGTTTAAATTGACTTTAATGAGAAAACTTAATGTGAAAGCATGCAGCACTCATTATTTATATTACTTTTTTTTTGAAATTACAATTTGAATAACTGCATAAAAATTTACAAAGGGTCTCTTCAATTTACAGAAATTTGGCATGTAATATTTATTAAGATCTTTATTTATTTTTTTGTTCTGTTAATATCCTACTTGTAAATATTTCTACAAAATATTATTTAACTACTTTAATTATTTGTCACAATCTTTGATGATGACTTATTTGCATGACGACATTACTCAATCTACATAATATGATTTGCATACAATCATTTGAGTTAAGTCAAAACTTGCTTACCACGTAAATATTTAAAGTACCAAAAAACATTTCCCTACATAATAAATGTAAATTTAGGGCGTACTTATTTAAAAAGGCTTTCAAGTTGTGGACGTAATAACATGCGTCGAGTTAGAGTTGCGTTTGATGTGTGCGTGGTCACTATATATGAAAATTTGAGGGTATTGGAGCGTGTACGCAATTATTGGACGAGGTGGGGGGAGACCGGACGCACCCGACGTGGTGTCAGATTTTCAATACGCTTTATGATGTTTTATATTATTATATATACATTATTGCATTAATAAAACATGGGACGAAATTTTTATTGGGTATATTTTTCATGAGCACGTCTCATTTCCAATTATTGCACGCCTATTAATATTAATATGCATCGATTCGTTTTTTACGTTGCTCGAGCGGGGAAAAATTGTGCTTTATAAAGGCGCTATCATCACTTCACCATTAGCATCTAAATCAAAGAGGTAATCTAAGCCGCAAGGGGTCGAAATTTATGACCGACGAGATTATTCCTGACGCTCTTGTATTATTGTCTTATGAAAGGTTTTATATGTAATATTGCAATGTTCTCTTTATTAAAAATTTACAGAACATTTATTTAAAAAAGTACTGTATTTTCATACTGTATATAAATGATAACATTTTATTGTTAATTATAATAATAATTGACAAGGTCTTTAGGAAGTAAGAACGCTTATACCATGAGATGATTATGATGAAAATTTTTCATTAAAATATTATAATATATTTAGTGATTGGCAAATAACTTCAATAACAAATCAATGATGTTTTTACGTATGGTAGAAAATTTTGTTATATATCTTAAACATTAAATAAAAATCTAATTTGTGTTCACTTTATAAATACGTAATCCTAAAAAAGATCAATATGAATATAAAGCGATGGCTCGTAATGTATTAATTCAAACGAATTTGTAACAACACACTATAATGTAAAGTGTTGAAACCGAAAACCCTTTTAATAGTTAATTGTTTGTAGCACTATACAAATCAGATTCTGCCAATCCCCATCAAAAACGATCCGACTACAGGGACCGGGATTTCACGCACCCTTAGTTTCTCACAATTGTGGTTATAGTTTTATCCTAAATAAGTACAAGTAATGCGGACTTTACAAAATTGTTTAAATTTAAATAGGTTTATAGAATTAAATTGTAAACACATACTTAAATTAATAGCTATATACAGTAATGTGTTCATATCAGGTCCGGTCGTAGTAAGCGATAACAGTATGTCATTTGGCCATTCAGTGAAAGAACGAATGAATCGCCTCGGGCTCAACACGCATTAATCTTGTGACGACTGGATTAAGGTTTCCCGTTTTCTTGCCACGGACGCGGAGATCAGCTTGAATGATGTTCTAATACTGACGTTAATGCCAGCTTGACATGGTGACGGATGATCGTTTGTTGCTAAATCAAACTGGGGCCGATAATGTTTCTTTTTCACTTTCCAAAATATATGCATTAGCTTTTTAAGGCCTCAACAAAAGAGTATAAGATAAGGATTCGTTAATGCATTATTTTTTCTTAATGATCTTATAGAGAAAGCGTTCGAAATTTGCACATAAAACCAAATGACAGAATCTATATGTTTTATACATATATTAATAATCTACAACATTTCAACTATTTTATTAAAAATATATTTCCATAAGTATGGAGTCGTTAATTTTCAATAGTAAGTCTTACCTTATGCCAGGTATATCAGACACTGGAACACCATCTTCTGTGAGCCAGGTGATCGTGGGGGCGGGCGAGCCGTGAGCAGCACACGAGACCCTCGCCCCTGTACTGTTGGAGAAGGACAGTCGTGGTGGTGGCTCCATCAGGAAGATCAACTGGCTGCTGACTGACGCTATAAAAAAAATGCAAATATTAGACTTTACCCTTAGTTACCTATAGATACATTAGACTGATGCCGAGTAAATGATAACTGAATGAAACTAATATTATTCGAATGCGCTTACGGTATCACGAGGTCCAGTGGTGCGGTCACGGACATAAGATTTTATATTTTTAACTATAGAGACAGGTATAATTTTTTTTAAATAATAAAATTCGCGTAGTAATTGGAATAATATTAGTTTTATTTAAAATAATACCCGCGAATACTTACACAGATCTCATAAAATAATAACAGTTTATATTCCAGCTAGCAAAAAAAAATGCACTAGCAACGCACAGTCTACCTGAGACCGGTTGAAATTCCAAGGCTACCTCATGGCGTAGTCCACTCTAATTCAGATCATTTACCAGTAATATGGAAAAATATAAAGAAGGATCAATTGTAATCCAAAATAATAATCTCTACACCGTCTCACTAGTATACTTCTGTAGTTGGAAGCTTATTACATTATTCCCACCTATATTATACGATCTGCTCAGTATTGTATAACTTATATTGTTAGCTATTCAGACGATAACTTGGCTTAGAACTAAGTGACGTTACTTTGTACTTAGTTCCTAACTTCTATTATTGACAATTGCTCTTTGTTGAGTCACATACATGAGCTATATATGTATATCTGGTGCAAAGATAGTTGATAACTAACAAAGAGTTTTACTCCTTTAATATTTAAGGTTTTTTAATATATTAAATGTAACCAAGAATTCCGTTTGAATACATTTGTTACCACGAACATTGTTACCTAAAATTTACGAGCAACTTCAAAGGTGTTTCCGTTGAGGGTGATTGTAGGACAATCATATTTTGAGTACAAAGTGTCCTACTGGAATTTTCAGTGTTGCTTGAAGATCATATTGTAAAACCCTCGTCATGTTCAAAAGTTCCTTTGTAGTGGATATTTTAAACCCACTAAAGAATTATATAGTTTTACCTCTTTAAACACCCTTATTATGTAATTACATACATATTCTTAGCTCTACCTCTGTAAAACATATAACATTTTGGAAATAAAAATACCAAATTAAGTATTTTATATGACTAATTTTTCATAAAACTTCCTACTTTGCTTAATAGCGTAGTTTAAATTGTATGACACCGTAAGCACTATATATTTAATCATTTAATTGTATTGATAATAATTACTTTAAAGATAGATATGGTTCATATTTATTTAACAATTAATAGGATATATATATATAGGATGTTAAAATGTTAGTTTTAGTTTTATGAAAATCTATAACAAAAGGTTGTTGAAGAACGAAGTCTCGATTTCATTTTAACAAAAGATAGCAGCACTCTTTGAGATTTTATCAATAAAGTTATTATGTTCAAGTTACAGTTTCTTAACAATAATGGAGGGAAATATATGCACACACTTTGTAGTTATAAAAAATCTTCCTAACAAAAATGATATTTAGACAACACTTAGTAAATCAAATTTCAATAGTGCATAAAATGAAACATTTTTTTAATGAATTCATATTATGTTCGAATGTTTGTTATACATTATTTTTAGGCTTATAACTTTTGTTGAGTGATTGTCAACTTTTAGTAAAATTTAAAGGAATGCATTAGCGTAAATATCCTACACATTGTGTAAGAACAATACTCAAACCACACTAGAGGGTAAAAGAAAATAATGAAAAATTAACTTTAGTGACACGAGATCAAATTAAAGCGTCTTTGCACCTGAAGAAAGAAAACTATGACAGTTACTGATGTTTTAATAACTTGACTAAGAGGAAGAAGTTAAAATAGGGATTAAGTATATTTTTGATGTATTTATATAACACTTTTTCATATATTTTTTTTATACGAGAAAGTTGATTTTACTGATAGATACATATATCTATTAAATGCCGTATGGAGCATTGCATACATTATATATTTTTGCTTTTACGATACTTCTGAATACGCCAATATCTCATCCCAATATTTAATCCGAGAATTTAAATTATTAAGGAAAATTCCTTATCAGTATAGATTTATTGAAATCGAAATATCATAAAACGCTTGTACTTCTAGGTAAAATATTTGTTTGTTTGAGGAAAATTGAATCTTTCATAGTTGGGTCAAATGTATGGTTAATGCGAAACTTTATTAATAACACCAGCAGCTAACCCTTTTACCCGAAACAAGTTACTATACCTACCACTTATTCATGACACGAGCCAGAGGCGTTTGAGTCATATAATTAAGAAAGTTTCATCTAAACGTGTAATATTATTATCAGTTATTGATATTATTATCAATTTGAGTTTTTTGAATGCAACTTTTGACTTTTTTGAAATATTTACCTTTCTCCGTTAATCACAACTGAGTACAACATCAAAAGTATGTAGCATGTAAAAAAAATTGATTTCGTTTCTAAGTAATATCTCCATCAATTTTGGTCGATGAAGTTTAGTATTTTGTAAATATGTCTCTTTCAATATTTAATTCCCTAAATAAAAATTGAAATTCATTTGAAATTTATACCTTAACGGTTTCAAAAAGTCGATTAACCTACCAAATAGACCTTCTAATTGATTTTTATAGATCACAATTGGTAAAAAGTGTCAAGGATCTTAAGAGTTATTTAAAAATAAACCATAATCAATGATTAATAGTAAGCGAGCAGATACTATTTGTTCAAGAATTCTTAAAGTTATTAACGTTACTGAGAGCTTTTAAACTGTCACTTCTGTGCCAGTATCTGTCAGTTGCTACAATTCTATTAAAACTAAGAAATTCTTGAATTACAAGACCGTTATGGAATTATACGGATTACATTTCATAATTTCAGTTATTTCTCATAGAAATAATATTAAAGGGGCAGAATAAAATGTATTTGAATTAACATTAAATAAATAATACAAATTATAAAACAAAGGCATTTGTTTTCAATTTCTATAGATAAAATTTGATTTTATATAAAACTAACAGAGCCGATGAACATCATCCTATCATCTTTATGATATCATTTCAACCAGGGTCCTAGTTATTAGTTATAATTCGTTCTTAACGATGACCATGGTGTCCTATGATAAAATGCTCGCTTCCAGCATTACAAACAAGTAACTGACTCAAATACAATTATAACATTAATTTGGAATTATGTGATCTTTGTAAACGATGTTGAAGTTGTACGATCTGTCTGAACAACTGTCAGACAACTGTCAAACAACTGACACTCATTTCAAGCGTGCGTAGCAAAGAGTATATTAAAAAGTTTATAATAGAAGCAGTCTTTAAGTTGTCTAAGGCCTTTTAAGTTTCTCAGTAATTTTCTTATTCCTTTTTATGTAAGAACTATCTAAAGAGTATTGCGAAACATTCAAAATAGACCGTGACGGTAGACAATAAAATAATTAATGCTATATTTCCTTTAACATATGTAATCATTTATATGTATTTTTTTCTAATCCTATTAAGGTAGAAAATTTAATTGTTATTCATAATAAAGCCTGCTTGTATAGCAAAACGTAATAGAGCATAATTTATAATAATTGCAACACAATAAACAAAACATCTTCAGTTAATAGCACTATAAATACTCAACACACACATTTTTCTAATTGATGGAGCGAAATTTTTACTTCATATACACGTGTAAATCTTTTTTTAATTTTACTCGTTAGTTACAAGAGGCCATGCTCTTCTAAATGTTGTTGAAATGGTGATGTAGTATGTCAGGTTGTTTAATTTGCTGTAATATGCATCGTGACTATCCTGTTTATGATACAACTCTTGTTCCGCGAAGTTTTTGCTGATATATGTATGTGTGTGTGTAATAAAATTTGTCACTATATTCTATATGAATATTTTATTTTTATCAAATTTAACTGCTAGTTCAGTGTTCCCATTCAGTTTTATGTGTACGTTGTCGTACTGTATTACGTGGTTACATTCTCTTCAGTGTGTTTGAGTGAAACGATCCCTGACACATATGACTACATACTTGTAGACGTGTGCAACCTTGATTACTGGTTCATTTTGTTTGTATTGTTTTATGTTTAAAACAATTAATTTATATTATGTCAGTTAAAATATAAGAATTGGCAAATATTAATTCAGTTTCATAATTCTATGACACAGAGGTAACATTTTTTGGTTGTATATATATATTATATAGAACCTTTAACCCGAAATGGTGTTGAATTCTAAGATTTAATTAATTTGAAGTTTAATACAGCGTCTCCTAAGTGTTTTATCGAAAGCAAAATAAAAAACCTTGAACTTGATTAAGTGTAAAAAGATTCTTCACTTAAAACAAAAAGTTATTTGAATATTATCTATATATATTTAAAAAACATTTATAATTAATTTTCTTACATTAACTATTTTTCAATAAATATAAATATAATGAACTATAGCAACTGTTGACCTTTTAAAACATTAAATGTCGTCAATTTTATTATTTGTATTATTATTTGTAACAAAAAAATCTTATTTCCTTAGGACGAAAATATGTAACGATAAAATTAAATTTTGAAATTCTCACTAATACCTTTATTGAGAAAGAAAAATTAAATGTAAAAAGTAATAAAATATAATTTTTTTCATAAGTTTTTTTTTCTATACAGTTTTTTTATCTCACTTTTTAATACACGAGTTACTAATAGTGAAAGTGTTTCAGTGGTGTTTTTTATTCGATAAAACATTAAAATCGTTTTTTTAATAAAAACAGGGTAGTGGTAATCCTACAGGGCAGTGTTACAGAAAGATCTTATTATTTAAATGATACTAATATCTCTGGCAGACGAGATCTCGTCTGCGTGTGGTTACGGTCGCGTGTGGTTAATCCAGTATGCAGTGTTAAAAAATAACAAAATACGCGTAGTAATCCGACAAAATTAATTATTTTTAAATTGACTATTAAAACCCTTAAAATTAATAAAGATTACATTATAATTTGACGAGGGAAAAATAGTTTTTGTT